GTAATATTTGGATTTTATTACAAAATCATCATCAGACTAACTGTATATTGTAATTATAGTTGGTGTGATGATGATATTGCAATAAAATTGAAATATTACTCACTCACTTTCTCGTTTGATTCATATTTAGGGTTTCAAGATGCTTATCCTCGGATTATGTTTTGTACTATATTTAGTGATCAGAATTGCAATTATTAAATTGGAGGTATTCTGTAATAGATAGAACATGATATAAACTTTTCGTCAGCTGTTAGAGTGTTGACTGTGTATCTTGGTAGCAGTCACGTGGCTTTCCATGGAAACTAGAGGTGTGCAAATTAGTCAACCTGAATCTATTCCTGTTGTACCTATATTTTCCATAACATTGGCAGATAAATAATTTTCTAGGAGTATTATTCAATTAAGATTAATAGAAATTACTCTGGATGATAGTGCTTTCGAACAATTTGAATGTTTACTCAACTCCGGATAACCTTGCACTATTCACCTTCGGCAAAATTAAAACGGCGTCCCGTTTCGTTCCGGTTTCAACGAAGACGGTTTTATCAAACAAAAAGAAAGCCACAAAGTTTTGTTCTGGCAGTTTGTAGAGGTATTCTTTAAAGTTATTTCTAATGAATAAAATTACTGAAAGTGTATAAATACTGTTTTATTTAAAACTATTAACAAGAGCTCAAGGACAATTTTTTTAACCATATTGTTCCAAACGAATATTTTTATGGGGTCGTAAAAGAAGCCAAATAAGATTTAAAGGGCCCTACAGTCATTTTTTAGTCGAAAGGCTTTTCGACTAAAAAATTACTGTGGGGCCCCTCTACATATTAAATACATTAAAAATTAAAATATCAAAACTACTGGTTCAAGCGTAAAGTTTTAATTGGGATTTTTGTTGGGTGCAATCGATTTGTTTTCTTGTCGTGCAATCGGATTCGATTCAAAATTTTCGTGCATGATTACTATGCTAGGTATACACGGGAAGGAGTGCAATTAATGATTAAAGCGCTGAGCTGATTTTTTAAAAATGTGCCAAAATTTAGCACTCATTGAAATTTAACAATCAGTCAATGTTTAACCACAAGTCGTAATGATAGACTACAGGTCGATTCCTGCCGCCAGAAGGTCTGTATAGTTATAGTTTTCGAAACTGGTTAGTTGTTGTAGTTTCGGCATGACATTTCCATCAACAAAAATTTTGCAAAATTTTATTATGCAAAAATGAACCCCAAACATTATTTTAGTGATATATTTGTACTCAAGCTAGTAAACATTATGTTATAACTGGGCAATAGAAATGCGAGACTATACATTTTTTAACGAAATTTTGCTTTGTAAAACTGAAATCCTATATTTGGTGCCTAATTCTGTTTTCTATTTACCTTGGCAAAGAGTTTCGTTTCCTTCATATATACTGCCACAAGTGCACAGGAATGATCCATCAATATTGGTGCAGTTTGAATTTGGGTGGCAGTTATCAAGAGATAGAGAACATTCATCTATTTCTAGATATGTATAACAAATAAATGGCATTAACATTTACATTTACATTTACATTTACATTTACATTTAGAAACATGGTTATACCTTTTTTCATTGAATTCATTTTATATCCTTTTACTTTGGTCAATTATTTTCTGCTATATCATTTTAATCGCATTAATGTTAAAAGACGAGTAATGTCTCTTACCTTGGCAAACAGTTCCATTTCCAGTATATCCACTAAAACAAGTGCAAAAAAATGATCCACCAGTGTTGGTGCAAGAAGCGTTGGAATGACAGTTGCCAATTGATAGAGAACATTCATTGATGTCTAAGGATAAAAAAAACATTCATGAATTACAAAGAGAAAAGCAACAATCACATAATTTGCTATTTCATTGAGTTCTGTTGGTAGACAACATTACACTCATCAGCATTATTTTTGGGGAAGACGAGCTTAACTAGAACTGAACAGAATTCAGACAAGGGAAAACATATCGTGAATGGGAAATAATTTAGTAATCCATTGTCATTTGCCAGTTTTGAGCTGTAGATTGAAAGTTATCTTTGTAACATTTGGAATGTTCAAACTTTTGTTATGAATATCTATAGTGCATTGGAACCAGTGTTAAAACAGATGCTATTTTTTCTTAATACAATCTTACAAGCAGTAAGTTGAACCCAAAGGAACTGGGCATAACATTTGATGTGTTAAAATCTTGCACTCTTTTATTTCTTTCGGTACTCAATTTTTGGTATGCGGCAATATTTGGAATCCATACAATCTATAAAATGTGTTGAATAACTGAGTGATTGTACATGTCTAAAGTGATTAAGAGTGCATGATAGAGTATTACATTCGCGCGAAATAAACCTATTGGTTTAACCAGGAAAGGTGACCAGTAGATAGTCACGGCAACATTAAAATGGCCGTGTAAGGCGTACGGTCGGTACGGATTTCCAAAGTGCTACTCACCATAACAATATACGCCATTTCCGGAATAACCTTGGTTACATCTGCACACAAAGCTCCCATCAGTGTTAATACATTGTGAGTTACTATCACAGTTGGCCAATCCTCGGGAGCATTCATCAACATCTATACAGAATAATCATACGCAGAAAAATGTCTGTAAACACTTATTTCAATCATTTTCAAAAATTGCGAAAACTATTTTGTTCTAAATTCTTCTCACAATGGTTCTATCATAAACATTGGTCTATAAGTTGCAAAATGTTAACAATGGGTTTTTAGGCTAGGAAAATTTTGTGTCACGAATGGCAGAAAATTTTTCGATTCTTGGATTTCCGAAACACAATATTTTGGCATCTTATGTGAAATTATGAAAGTAAAGTTTGGTCCTACTCCTGATTAGGAGAACAAAATGCAGGCTATAGCGTAAGTAGTCAGAATAACATCCTGAATATAAAAACAATTAGCTTTTATGTACTAGCTTCATCTGAAATATTATTTTAGCTGTTCAATAAATAGACTAAATCTTATTAAATTAGCAAAAATTTGTTGTGTTATTTCCCAGGTAATACACGCTGCATATATAGGTATCAAGTTGTCCCCTTCATGCAACTTGTGGCAATGAGCCACGAGAAGTCCAACTTTATTATTTTGCTCTTTCCAATGGCAGACGATTTTACCAGTCAAGCTGTCACACAAGATGAGTGCCATAGTTTCATTATACCTGTTGCAGAACATTCTACTCCTGCGTCCTCATAATGCCTGCAATTATGACTTCCCCATCCACTGTGCGAACAACTGAGTAAATTTTGTTCCCGTCCTGTACAAGAAACATCATCCAACCATATCTGGCCAGTTCCATCAGGAACATATGTACCTTGAAGAGCTCTAACAGTGTATTTATATCCAAGCTGACGGCATACAACCTTAGCCTCATTTATACCCCAACCATCATCACATACTGTTCCCCATTGTCCATTGTAGTCTAAGAGTACTTCCACCCGACCTGTACCATTGGAGCTTGATGGTCCCCGTAACCTGACAGATACACCTGTAAATAGTTGTATCAATTAAAAGGAAAAACAGGTGCAAAGTGAAATAATATAATGCTTATTAATATAATGCATGCGCGCCTATTCTCCAACAGAGTGCTGGCACAATGCATGCCTGTAGTTGGGTACCATATTCAGTTTGTCAGGAATAACAGTTGTTACCATGGAAATTTTCCTTCAAAGAGCAAATGGATACATTTCTTGTCCAATATCCGTTGCGATTGTGGTTACTCTTGCGGCTGTGTCTACGCAAATTCCTATACTAAAGTGTGTGCAAATCATGGAAATAGAAAGAAATTTACTCAGTGCAGGTTTAACGAGATAAAAACATTAGCAATTCAGACAACGCTATCTGCAGTAACCACAATACGAACACAAACAGTGTTAACGAATCCACTGGTGGATGTTTTCAAGTCTTGTATTGTTGTAAGACACTTTAAACTATGCGTTTTAATTGATACAAAAAGCACACACTTTTGCTTGTGAGCAAACCGTTCATGTTTCGAGGCATTTTTGAATATTTTAGCGCAACAATTAATATATAAGATTTCCCAAATATTCCGCCTATTTTATTTTATGAAATTACAACGGCAGCTTTAGCGGAAATTTTATATTTATACTGGATGGAAATCTTTATCCTGCTGTTTTGGTCAATTGATATTTGTAATTAAACAAAACGCAAAATATGGCATAATAAGTTGGAATAGCACCCTGAATATATGGACAATTAGCATTATACCAGTTTCACCTAAAATATTAAATAAAACATTTAAATAACTGGGGCCGGTTGTGCGAAAGGTGGATAAGTTATCCAGTAGATAAGTTCTAACCAATGGATAAATATCCTATCCAATGGGTAGCTATATGGGCCGGTTGTACGAAAGGTGGATAAATAGAAAATTTTATCCGGAGTGAAAATCGCGTTGTACGAAGCTTCGATAGCGCTATCCAACGAATAAAAATGCACTATCCGTTGGATAAATTTATCCGAGGTCCGGAGGTAGTTAAATCTACTATCCGGAGGATAAACTCAAAGTTTGAAAACCAAATAATGTGTAAAATTGTGATAGAAATGGACAAATATCGTTTAGAAGTCCCTTTTTTGACATTAAATAAACATGGAAATTTACTTAGGGAAGCCTAACATATCGACTTTTCCACGAGAAATGTCATATGTTCGTTTGGAGGTGGGGTGCAGCTGTGACGTTTCTCAGTAAACATTGAGATTCTCGGGAAAACAAAACTAACTATTCCCTCGGGTGCAGATATTAAGTGTATATTATTTGTGTTGTTTAGTATATACAGTGTATTGTTATTACACTTTAATAAAAGATCGCACAAAATTTATTTTTGCATTTATTTTTAATAATTACAAACTGGTTTGTCAGTTGCTTTTTGACAAATTACAGTTGCATAACCAGGGGGAGGGAGATTTTTATTGTTCCTAGTGTCTCGGCTTACTAAAGAACTTACTTAAGATAACTTACCAGGGAGAACTGACTGTTATAAATTGCATACAGTGTATTTTGCTATAATTATGCATTACAACATGGTCCTCAGATGCATCCCAGAATGCGAGAAATAGCATTGGAGAGACTGTAAAGATTCAAATTTTCCATTTTACCCAGACCCATCTAGCTAGAATATTTGTACTCTGATGTGGTTGGAATTTGTAGAGGGTGATGTCTATATATACAATTTAATATATACATAGTGATACATTTTGACCTCCCCTCCCTCCTTAAAATGTATAATCTGGCTATGCCACCTTATCATCTATATATATTGATATATCAATCACTAGTCAGAATACAACAGCTTGTTGATTTAACATTTCATCATCTTCTATTTAGCAAGGAAGCTTGCATGCTCCTAAAAAGAAAAACTTGACAATCAACTTGCTAAATATGATAACCGCCTAAGACATGATATCCTCCTGATTGACACTTTCCAACATTCACAACTTTCCTATAGACTTAAACCACCTATGTACAATTGAAATGCTCTATTTGAAAAAGTATTTTGAGAAAATCAGAAATGTACTGTAAAGAATTGTACAGAAATGTAATGAGATGTTTTGTAGAAATTGTTACATAACATTTCTCACTACATTTTAATCACAGTATAATAATTTACATGCACAATGTAGATTCCCTCTGAAAGATGCAGCATTAACCCATAAATGGGAAGATGCTAATGGAAAGGAAGATGGAAACTAGAAGGCAAGACCTTGCAGTCGCCTGTGCAGCAATCATTTCCTGCCAAGTGACTACCTGCGTCCAATACAAAAAGTAAATTCCGGGCATGCAAGGGGCCAGATGTATCGGCAGGAAAAACCGGAATTGCTACCTTCTTACCATCAACCTGCATCAGTAAATCTACCTGGTGAAGTATGTTGCTAACACATATCTAAACCTGAGGTTGGCTTCTTACTCAAAGATATATTCTAAGGCTGTCATTAACTTGGGAAAGCTCAGTTCGAGGCACCACCTCACAAAGACAATTCCGTTCCTCAACCAGTAACTAGTTGTATTAAAGAGATTGACGAGCCAAGAGAACTCGTGACAGTGAAACACTGCACATTTTGAAATTCGATTTTGTACTGTGTATTTAATATTGAACGAAGATGTTATAACTATAAGTTTAACGTTTTCATTTCAAAAAATCATGGTGTTAAAGAGCAAGATACATTTTATACCTATAAATTTAATATATAATTAAAGTTTGAAATGAATCATTTGTAAATTTGCTTATCTTGTCTTTAATATTAATATTAAAGTTGTATGCATCTTGTTGAGCTCATTCATCGTGATCATGGCAGTAATAAATATATTAATACAACGTCCAACAAGACAACAACCCTATATTGTTTCTTGAGATTTGTTTTTGGGATCGGTAGGTAAAAAACCCATGAAGTTCATAGCAAAAATAAGTGAAAATATCAATAAAAGATCATACGGAACTATATTAGAAAATACATGCATGCAGAAACCCTCGCCTTGCTGACAAAACAATTATGTTTTCCAAACATGAAGTATTGTCATGGTAACACGATAATTTTAAGAATAGTTTTCAAATTGAAAAATCCTCCCAAAATATCACTTTTAATTACAAAATTATCAATTTCTCAAACATATATATGCTACAGTAGGTAAGTTATTATACGTAATATAAGCTTCAATTTAATGTAAAATTCAACCACAAACGCTTCGCAAAACGTTTTAAAATGTTCTTAAAACTAAACTGCCTTTTATCGATAAACATTGAGTTTGAAAATTTGAAATAAACTGATTTCAAATTCTTGCATGAAAATAACTTTGCTTTCCTCTTTATTTAAATATCTTAATATACAAAAAAGGGTAATTAATAAAAATACACTAACGGGAAGGACACGCGCAGCCACTTCTGGTCTTCTGAGAACAGAAGCATGCAAAACAAGTACATTTCAAAGTTCGTATTGTGTTAGAATTGTTAAACTGTGGAACTATGTTTGTACGTCTGCTCCTTCGTATTGTTATGTCACTGTCTCCTCTTTTAAGTTATACTTGCGCAAGACTTACATCCACCTCACTAGTACTTCCTACACTCCTGACTTACCTAGTCACACTCACTTTTCACGACTCAATAAAAATATCTAACATTTCTCTCTTTGTCTTTTCATTCTTTCTGCCTTTTCATTCTCTTAGTCTTTTCATTTAATCTTCCTTGTCTTTGTTTCCTGTCCTTGTTTGTTGTCTAGTGGTGAGCAAATTTTGGCACTTTCCTCGTCTTCTTGTACAATGTAATTGTCCGTTAAAGTTATGTATAAATATCCAGTTCTTTATGTGTCAAATTAAAGTTGTTAAATTAAATTAAATATTAAAAACAAACTTACCTTCATTAACGTCGACGACTTTGCTCCATTCTTTTAGACGTTTTTAGACAATTTTTGGCTCTCAAAAAGGTTTTGAAATTTGCAAAATCTTGCAAAAATACAATAAATTTGCTGATTTGCAAGAAATGTTTGCTATTCCGCTGTCGTCATTTGTCATACAACAACAAATTTTAAATTCCTGAATTTAACCAATCAATGTTCGCTATTCATGACAGTCCGCCACATAACAAAGCGAAAACCATCTTGCATTTTTTAAACAGGATAACAGTGAGTAATCGTTTTGCATTTAAATCGAATTTTGCGATTTATATTCGTAAAAATACGCTGTTTTGGTCAGTTGGGGTCAAAATATTTGATCGGGCGCCATTTTACGAAAATTAAACGAAGCCATTGTGTTTGCACTCATCTTCAATCAGGCAAGCCACTGTGGTGACTGTGCCACTGCTACCAAAACATCATCAAGCCCCTGTGCTACTGTTGCCAAAATACCAGCAAGCCACTGGCACTGTGACACAGCTGCTACCAAAATATCATCAAGCCACTGTGCCACTGCTGCCAAAATACCAGCAAGCCACTGATACTGTGACACAGCTGCTACCAAAATATTAGTAAGCCACCGTTACACAGCTGCTACCAAAATATCAGCAAGCCACTGTGCCATTGCTACCAAAATATCAGCAAGCCACTGTGCTACTTGGACCAAAATGTCAGCAAGCCACTGTACCACAGCTTCTATACCAAGATATTAGACAGATTTAGAAAAGACGACGCGACCTCAAAGACGACGTGAAAATGACGTGTACACCTCTTGTTCACTTCCGGGTTTTAATCTGGGACGGCTTGTTTATCTTTTTCGAAACAAATTTTTGTTTTCTTGTTACCTGTTCATTCCTGTATTGTTTTCAATCAGTTGTCAAGTTATGTGCAAGAAAAGGATATATAATACTGTCCAAATGTTTCCTGATGAATTAGTATGAACATTCAATAAGTTTTTTTTAGAAAAGGACGTATATTCCGGTATTTTGAAAAGTGAACTTTGTGCATCACTTGGAATAAATACAATAGCTGCAGGTATTGTTTACGAGCTAAATGTTTATTTTGTAGCCTATTAAATCAAGTTTGTCAGCTGTTTAGTATAAATAGGGCATTAAGTGCTTACATATATTGGTAAAATTTAATACTGTTTACGATAGTTTTTCATGCTGGAAAGCGTATTTTTACTTGTCCTACTTTTTCGCACTGTTGTAACAGAAAAACTAAAATTGATTGAGTTTTTACTGCTTATAAGTGCCTTTATTCTTCTACCTTCCCAAGTTTTCCTGATTTTAAACAGTTGTTAATATAATTTCAGTTCAGTTTGTTCTAAAATGTTAGTTTTGGTGAAGAATACTAGCGGTATTGAAGTGGTTATTAACAATGCTTGCAGTTTTGTTGATTTGTTATGGCGATCGAAACTATTTGCCGAAAATCAACACGTCCAAAATTTAGAGAAATACAAGAAAAATTGACCTTGCAAATGGAAAAACTTTAGCTAGTATTATTAAACAATACATGGAGAACAATTTAGGATGATTTTTATTATGCATAGTCTCATATTTTTTTCATAAAAAGCAAAAATCTGTGACGTTCTAGAAAGGACGTGAAAATTGTATTTTCGCGTCGTGAATTCATCAAAGACGACGTCGCAAACCAGAAGCTGACGTGAGTTGGCGCCAAATGACGACATCCACGTCGTCTTAGAGGTCGCGTCGTCTCTTCTAAATCTGTCTATTAGCAAGTCACTGTGCCACTGGTACCAAAATGTCAGCAAGCCACTGTGCTACTGCTAATTGTCTTGCCATTGTGCAGGTAAGCAAATTGAACCTCGCCATTGTGCATGCAGGTATATATAAAAAGACCCAGATTGGGGTTAATAATACAACTGCATGCCTTAGCTGCCAACTTGCAGGTAAAGGATTCATACCGATACATGACAAAACAACATTGACTGTTTCACTTGACTGGGATTATGGGTATTGCAATTGAGACCTATCATTCAAGGATTGGTTCACACTACAATTTTACCCCAAGTAAAATAATATCTCGACTGAAAGGTAAATTCTGGAATCAAATGTTGATGGTGTTCTATTTAAATGCATTTTGTCTGCTATGTCTTAAAAGCCTAGTGACTAGAACTGGCAAAAGTAATGTTGTTTGTTAATTACTTATCTTGCATGCTAATTAGGTTTTTTTATTATAATTACAAGGAACATGTTTGTGCTATATGCAAATTATCTCTAGGTATTATATAAGACCTTGCTTGTAAATAGATTCTTTATGTTATTAAACTCATACACAACTTAACATGGTGGCAGCGGTGGGATAGTTTTGTGGGATAGTTATCCAAGTAAAGTTTATAATGGCGGCTTCTTTAAACTTGCCGTTTCCCTTATTGAAGTCAACGGGAGACGATAAACGCGATATTGAAGTGTATGTAGAGGATTTAGTCGATTATTGTGCAATGAACAACTGGTATGACCCGTCGAAATCAACAGATGATGCAAAATGGATTAAACCTGATAAAGCGATGGCTTGCTTGAAAGCATCTTTAACGAAGTCGGCAAGAACAGTTTTAAAATATGTATTGTCTGGGTTTAACCGAGGAAAATCAAACAAAACAGCATTGTGTTATTCAGGCTTTGAAAATATATTATGGGGCCAGTATTTGCGTGTCGGGAGAGAGACAAAAGTTCCTTCGACTAATTCAACAAGACGATGAAACCATTGGAGCATGGGAATCTAGAGTGCGAAATCAAGCGACCCAGTGTGAGTACGAAAATTTCGAAGATGAGCTCATGAGAGATCAGTTTATTGCTGGTCTAGTGTCAGAACAACTTCGTGTCAAACTAATAGGAAAAGGACATCGGCATAGGGACGGCGATCGAAGTAAAGTTTCTTTACGTGAAGTGGTCGAAAATGCCAAGGCATATGAAGCAACGACAATAACAAATAAGTTGATGAAAAATGCTAGAGAAAGTCAACAAGAGCAAGTAAATTATTCAAATAGCCAACGAAGGCAGCCGGTGAACCGTGACCGTCGTGATTTCACAATACCACAGCAAACAATAACGTGCTCTTATTGCGGTGTTCAACATAAACAACCTTGCCCTGCTTTTAGAAAGCGATGTAACAAATGTGGAGTGATTGGACATTTCGCAAGAGTTTGTAAAAGTGAACGAAGTTATTACAAGCGCGAGGAAAAAGCTAACCAAATTCAAGATGAATTAAACGAAGAACTATTTGCCGTGGGGAGCAATAAAGACAATTAAAATGGCAGTGCAAAGAAATTCTTTGCTAATTTAACATTGCTTAACAAAAGAAAAAATCGACTGATTAGAGCTCAAATTGATTCGGCATCTACTTGCAATACAATGCCGCTAAATTGGTTGCGGAAGAATTTTCCGGGATGTAAATTAGGAAGGACTTTGGCAACAATATGCACATATGGAAATCAGAAAATTGCACCCAAAAGACAAGTTACATTATGTTGTGAAGCAAAGGGGAAATTCCACTTATTAGACTTTCTGGTCGTTGATGTGGCGGAAGAAAAGCTAGCATTGTTGAGTGGTTGAGATGCACAGAAGATGGGGTATTTGAAGATTTATGCTGACGAGGTTCAAGCAGTTGATGTTGAAAGTGAAAGAAAAGGGACCGACCTTTCTCCGTTGGGGCAGCTAACCAAAGAATCGATTATTACGCATTATGGGGATGTTTTCAAGCCAGGAAGGGGAAAACCTCTCGGCGATCCTTTGCATATCGAGGTTGATCCATTGAACTAAAAATAACTGGAACGCTACGTTCAAGCGGAAGTTTGAAGCTAAATTATACAAGGTCCTACACAGGCTTTAAAAGGCCCGTTTTGAAAGAAAAGGCCCCTTTCCCTTTCGATTCGCATCTTGCCATGAAAACGTTTAAAACGGCACACTTTGATCGCCCCCTGCATTGTCTCGTCAGTAAATCGCGCAGTAGAAACACGCGTGAAAGTGCGTGTCTGGGAGTCAAAACTGGCTTCATGGGAGTCAAATTTTGGCTTCAAAATTTGCATGCACAGTTTACTGAACGTAGCGTTCCAGTTATTTTTAGTTCAATGGGTTGATCCAAGTGTTAAGCCTGTACAAAGCCCACGAAGAAGAATCCCCGTAGCCAAAATGGAAAGAGTAAATAAGGAATTGGATAGATTGTGTGAAAAAGACACGATAGCTCAAGTAACGCAGCCCACAGAATGGTTATCTAATATGTTGGTGAGAGAAAAACCAGACGGGAGAATCCGAATTTGTACAGATCCAAGTCGGACTGTAAATAAGGCAATAAGAAGACCTGTCTACACTATACCAACTATTGAAGAAAAGTTGCCTTTTCTGACAAGTGCTAAAGTATTCACAGTGGTGGATGTTTCAGAGGCATTTCATAATATTGAATTGGATTACGAATCGTCACTATTAACAACTTTTCAAGGTCCAAACGGACGGTATCGATACAAGCGAATGCCTTTCGGCATGTCATCCGGTCCTGAGGAATATCAAAGAAGACAACAAGAATTCCTTGAAGGGTTGGACGGTGTTATAAATATAGCAGATGATATATGTGTTTTAGGATGGGGTAACACAAAGGAACAAGCTAATATAGATCATGATAAAAATCTCATCGCTTTGTTAGATAATTGTAAAGAACAAGATCTTAGGTTGACCGTGAAAAAAATGCAATTCAAGTCCACTACAGTAACCTTTATGGGACACAAATTAACTGATCAAGGAATTTGCCCGGATCCGGGAAAGGTTAGCACAGTTCGTGAGATGCCAAGATCTCTTGATAAAGTTGGGGTACAGCGTTTTTTTGGGGATGTGTAATTATTTATCAAAATTTTGTCCAAATCTAAGTGAAACAGTGTTGCCGTTAAGGAATCTAGTCAAGCAGAACGTTGAATTTAATTGGTCAGATTCGCAAGAAAATGCTTTCAACGCAGCTAAAGATCTTATTGCATCAAGCGCAAATTTGCGTTATTATGACGTTAAACTTCCAGTTACGTTACAAGTGGATGAGTCGGATGAAGCTATTGGTGGGGTACTTATGCAAGAAGAAAAACCAGTTTGTTTTACGTCACACACTTTAACAGATACAGGAAAACAATATGCGCAGATTGAAAAAGAGTGTTTGGCTATCATGACAAGTATGAAGAAGTGGCATCAGTATCTTTTTGGTAAACATGACATTATTGTGCAAACGGACCATCAACCTTTAGAAACAATTTTTAAAAAGCCACTTAGTAAGGCACCTCGAAGACTTCAACGGATGATGCTTCAACTACAGCAGTATAATTTTGAAGTTGTGTATAAAAGAGGGAAAGAACTTTATGTTGCAGATACTTTGTCACGGGCAGCATTAAAAGAAAATTGCGCGGTGGAGTTGGAGTCACGGAAATGGTATTTCGAGTTGAGCTGGAGCAGATGGGTTTAAAACCTGCCATGATGTCAGACTGTACGTTAAACAGAATGAAAGAAGAGACCAGAAAAGACCAAACGTTGAAGTGTTTGTTGGAAACGGTACGAAAAGGATGGCCATCGGATAAATTAATGGTTCCACCGTGTATCAGACAGTATTGGTTTTTTTCGAGAAGAAATTACGCTTTACGAAGGGGTTCTTTTGAAGACGCATCAAGTGATTGTACCAACAGTGTTGAGGAAAGAAATGTTGGAAAAGATTCACAAGTTTCACCAAGGTGCTGACAGTAGTATACGTCGAGCTCGAGAAGCACTGTTTTGGCCCGGAATGTCAGCTAATATTCGTCAAATGTCTGAAGCTTGCGGAATTTGTGCTCAATTCCAAACGGAACAACCGAGAGAGCCTATGAAATCGCATGAGATTCCTAAGTTACCCTGGTCAAGAATAAGTGTTGATTTATTTCAATTAGCTGATAAGAACTATTTGGTTATGGTTGATCATTATAGTGACTTCATTTAACTTGATCACTTGAAAAACACTACGGCTAATTCTGTAATTAAGGTGATGAAAAAGAACTTTGCAAGGCATGGAATTCCAAGTGAATGCGTTAGTGACAATGGTCCTCAATTTGACAGTTCGGAATACAGATCTTTTGCGAGAGAATGTGGTTTTACACCGGTTAAGTCGTCTCCGTATAGTCAAGGGAATGGTAAAGCAGAATCGGCGGTGAAGGTTGCAAAGAACATATTAAAAAAATCGGGCAACGAAGATCCTTACTTGGCATTATTAGCTTATCGCAATACTCCGCAACAAGGATACGTATATTCTCCATCTGAAATATTAATGGCACGGAAACTAAAGGATATTATTCCAATGGTACCGTCACAGTTAAAACCACGATTAGTTGACAGCAAAATTGTAAGAGAGGACATAATGAAGAGAAGAATTCAATCAAAGATTCAGTATGATAAAAAAGCGTCACGTCCATTGAAAGATTTAGCCGTTGATGATCATGTTTACGTGAAGCCTAGGCAAAAGTATAAGCCTTGAATTTATGGGAAAGTCATCGAAAGGCCTGATGAAAGGACGTGTGTTATGCAAACGCCATTAGGATTAGTTCGCCGAAATCGGAAGCATCTCAGAAAGATTAAAGGGGAAAGTTCAGAACATCAAGTACGTGATGAACAATTCATGGATATTGTTTCTTTACCGGATATTGATAGTGACGTGACTAGTAGCAACAACAACACGGTTGATCCTGATGAAGAAGGGCTGGAAATGCAGAACAGGTATCCGGAGAAGATCTCGTGTCATTAAGAAGATCTGAGAGAGTTCGCAGATCACCATTAAGATATCAGGACTATACAGTATAATAAGATCAAGGTATCAGGACTATACAGTATAATAAGATCAATCATTAAATCATGAAAACTATATTGTCCTATATAAATTGACTTTTGGATTGAAGCTTTAATTAAATAACTGAAAAAATAAAAATTCTGTATTAACTTAGTTAGAGTTAATGAACTTTACTTGCAAGAACAATATGGGTTCGTAAGGAGAAAGATGTTAATAGTTACTTATGTTGCATGCTAATTAGGTTTTATTATTATAATTATAAGGAACATGTTTGTGCTATATGCAAATTATCTCTAGGTATTATATATGACCTTGCTTGTAAATAGATTCTTTATGTTAATAAACTCATACACAACTTAACATGTTCAGCAAATGGTTTGCTATCATGTTTATGTACCATTATTATTAAGACTTTCGAATGACGTTGAGGAAAATCCAGGTCCTAGAAATATTAATGAAGTTTTTTATTATACCTATACAGTTCATGCTGATTTCCATCAAGGTCATGCATTAATATTTGTAGAAGTAAATGTTTGTTTTGCATTATCAAAAGCTTCAGTGACAGTCAAGCCAGTCCAACGACTTCATAAGCGATCATCAAAGTTTATAAAACAACGGTATTAAACAGTTCATACATTTTTCATTTTATGGACTTGGCTTGTAAATTATTAAGCAGAAGCCACAAGGACAAGGCTTCAGGGGCGTAGGAAGCAACGTGGAGTTAGGGGGGGGGACTACATAAGAAGGGCACCTTTTTATAAAAAAGGCATTCTCCCAACTGTTTTATCTTAAAAATGGGTACTTCGAGGGTATCTTGGGGGAGGGGGAGGCACGAACCGCAGTGCCTCCGGTTTCTACCTACGCCTGTGAAGGCTTACAACATGTACGTGTAGGCTAAAAATTTTTGGGGGTCCCTTTCAAAAAAATTTTTCCGGAAATATTTTTTTCCCGACAACGACCTCCCCCCCCATTCCCAGCCAGTGCATTTCACGATTTTAATAAAGAGTAGATAGGGAAAAAACAAACTTTCGCAAAATAAAATGTTATGTTAACACTTTTAATAAAAAGAAATCAACAAAAGTGATCGCTTACCGTTATTCTACAATAATTTATTGAACAAAATTTCCATGGGTATCTCATTTTTAAAAAAAAGCGATTTTCACCTTACAAACGGCGTTTCCCTATCTTTTGCTATGAAATTTCGACGACGGCACTGGCTGGGAAATTTTGTGACAGAAAAATTGAGGTTATATACATGGAGTGTCAGTTCCTCTCTGTATATCTCTCCTCTGTGGTACAACCATGGATAATAAAATAAATAGATAGGATACTGGCTGACGTGACCTAATGTTTTCAATGGGCTGATGGCATGGTTGGTTGTTGAAACCTAGTTGCAAACTTATAAATTACCTAAATTAGTGAGATTTATAATTGTATATATACGTATATAATTTTAATAAAGTTTCCATTATTATTATTATTATTATTATTATTATTATTATTCATTATTATTATTATTCATTATTATTATTATTATTATTATTATTATTATTATTATTATTATTATTATTAACGAGTTTTTTCAGTCACAATTCAACGAGTTTTTTCAGTCACAATTCAGTGTTAGACCAGAGCTGGGAGACTTGGATTCGGAAATTGTATTCATGAATAACGTTATCTGGTCTTACTTTAAAGATTCATGTGGTTTGGTAAAGTCGGCTAATAAATTTGAACACTATAGAAGTATGTCAAAATCAAAGTTAAAAAAATGCTTAAAAGATTTAAAATCGAACGGAGGCAGCTTGGAGGAAATAAAATTTGTCAGTAAGTTATTGCGAAAAAGAATGCAGTCAAGCGTTAATGACCAGCGGGATTATGAAAATTAATTAAATGAGAACTTTTGGAAGTTTTGTAAAAATGAATTTGAAAATACTGAAGAGCTTGAACCAAACTTGAGCGAACAGTCGTGTTTCGATTATTTTAAGAACTTATTTAAGGAGAAAAGTAAAAGTCGTTTGTTTAATTGGCCGTCCTGGTTGAGTTCATTTCCATCCGCAAGTAAAGATTTCGACTTAGAATGTCCTACGTATCGTGAGATCTCCAAAATAATCAGAAAAATTAAAAGTCGTGGCTCTGCATGTACTTTCGACCAAATAAGCATTATTTCGTTTCAACGTTGTCCAATTTTAAGAATGCATTTATGGAAAATTATCTGTAAATGCTGGAACGAAAAAAATATTCCATCTGTCTGGAAGCACGCGGCGGCGATATTGATCCATAAAAAAGATTCAACTGAGGATCCTGCTAATTTCCGTCCTATCTGTCTAGAGCCTGCTTTGCTAAAAGTTATAACATCATTGCTAAGGAATAGAATCTTTAAGTTTGTTTGCGAAAACGAATTTATTGAGTCGGGAATCCAGAAAGGTTTTTGGCCTGGAATTTCGGGGACTATTGAACATACGGAGTTATTATCACATATTATTAACCATGCCAGAAATAAGCAAAGATCTCTTGTAGTTACTTTAATTGATCAGAAAAATGCGTTTGGTGAGGTACATCATAAACTTATACGAACTATCTTGACAGCTCATCACATTCCTGAAGAAATTATATGCTTTGTTGAGAATCTCTACTCTGATTTCAGTATCTCAATTATTACGAAAGGGTTCATTACGAAACCAATTCCAGTGCAACGAGGCGTGTTACAAGGTGATTGTTTATCACCCTTGTTATTTAATCTTTGTGTAAATTCTTTGATTCACACAACAAACGACGCGAAATTAAAATGTCTCGGCTATGTAAATAACGCAACGATGTACCCTAGGCACTGGTTCCAATTTGCGGATGACACAGCAATATTAAGTGCACATGAAGAGGACAATCAATTGCTTTGTAATGTATTTAATAAATGGTCAACGTGGGCGGATTTGATATTCGTATTGAGAAATGTCATACTTTTGGAATCAAGAAGCAATCCTCAAAAGCAATTCAATACCAACCAGTTATTATTATCTCGGGCAAGCGTGTACCGCCGATTGAATGCGAACAGGGGTTTAACTATCTCGGAAAACAATTTAACTTTAATATGGAATGCGACCAGATCAAAATAGAGATACTAAGTGAAATCGACGAATATCTGCAGAAAATAGACCTTTTCTCCATGAATCCTTTTTCGAAAATCAGGATCATTCAGAATTATGTTTACTCAAAGCTCCGTTGGCGATTTTCTATATAACCCTTTACTGAGACCTGGATAAAGCAATTTTCCAAGTATATTCGAAAATGGTTACAGATCTCGATTAGTGGCAATATCACTCATCTAAAACTGCCAAAATGGTATCTAGGGATTGACTTTTGCTCTGCTTCAGATATATATTTACAATGCAAACTTTCGGTTAGGCGCATATTGAAAACATCTAGAAACATGCAGTAATATTCAACATCTGTGCTGAGTGGTTATATTACTACCTTAAAAAATAAGCAGAAACTCGACGTTTCGAGCGAAGGCCCTTCGTCAAGAGTTAGTAGCAAGAGTTAGTAGCTGTAAAAAATAGACTAAATCTAATTAAATCAGCAAAAAATTGTTAATTTTCCTGGTAACAAAATGAAAACGCTACATATACTATCAAGTTGTCGCAAATATATATATATATATATATATATATATATATATATATATATATATATATATATATTAAGGTGAAAATGTTCTCGAGTGTGTATTATATAATATTATTATTATTATTATTATAAATTTCCAAACTAGCAGTAACAACTGAATTACTTTGGAATTACAGGGTATAAGAACATAGGTATTTAATCTATTCTATATTTACAGGTAAAAATAGGTAAGTTAGATAAAAATAACGATAATAATCTAAAGTTTACTTATTATTATAAGCACGAGACGCAGCAGGAATGAAACTGTTCGAAAAACGTTCAGTTCTACACCTAGGTACTAATAAGTTGGGATAAGACCTCAGATTATAAGTTTGAAGACTTTTAGGCGGTACTAAGGCATTCAGTTTATGAGTGGGTTCCAACATCTTCGAAAAAAGTCGCTTGCAATGGACAGTTCTACGTTCGTAAAGAGTCGTCAAGTTAGCTTTAAGCAAACATTCAGCATAGATAGTTCCAGGGAAAATAATTTTTAACGCCCTTTTTTGTATTTTTTCAACTTGATCACTCAGGTAATGAGGAAGGCCATAATGCCACACCTGACAAGCATATTCGACAATTGGTCGAATATGTGTACAATAGGTTGAGATCAGAATATGAGAAGGTAAAGCATTTCTTTTAAGAAGGCGCAGACCGTACAAACGCTTCGCGGCTTTCTTGCAAATGTAGTCAATATGGCAGTTCCATTTGAGGTCGTCCGAAAGGACAACGCCCAATAGTTTGGCCTCGGAAACGACGTCGACCTCTTGACCGCGAATGGTAATAGGGGCAAACGATGGGGTAAGCTTAGAAAAGCAGACACGCAATTCTTTGGTCTTTGATACATTTAACTTCATATTATTGTCTGATGACCATTCAGAGCAGCTGATGATGTTAGCGGGTAACTGGGAAGGGGAATTGTTTGATATTATTTCCCAAAGGCTAGTATCATCGACAAATTTAACAGTTTCATCCACTACAGCCAAGTCATTTATCATGATCAAAAATAATAGCGGGCCAAGTTTCGTTCCTTGTGGGACGCCGGCGTTTAAAAACTTCCACTCAGAAAAGAACTGACCAACACGGGTTCTTTGTTGTCTGCCTGTTAGGAAGTTTGCGATCCAGTTGAGTAACACGGGATGAATTTCCATGTCTTTCAATTTTTCCAACGGAATGTTATGATCTAATCTATCAAACGCCTTGGCAAAATCAAGTAAACAAATCCGTATAGTGTTGCCTTGTTTGTCAGCTGCTTCAAACCATTTATGTAGCATGTAGATTAATGCCATACTAGTGCTTGAACCCTTCAGCGAACCAAATTGCAAGGAATCAATTTTTTTGAGACGGAGTCAAGTAGCCATTTGTAGGGAAAGGATTCAAGAATCTTGCTGATAGTTGGTGTGAGGGAGATTGGTCTGAAGTCAGAATCAACATCTTTAGGAGGCGAAGATTTTTGAACTGGTGTAATATTTGCTGCCTTCCATATTGAGGGAACAAATCCTTCACGAACTGATGAATTAAAAATAGAACACAAAGGTCGACACAACACTGAAGCGTTTTCCCGGGGAAGCCAAGAAGGAATTTCATCGGGACCAGCAGATGAATGAAGTTTAGATGATAATAGGGCCTTTTCAGTCTCCTCGACAGAGATGCAGAAATCATCTGGAATGTCATTTGTGGGAAGGGGGAGCCAGTTTAGATTGGGTAAGGAGGACCCTACAGCAACGAACTTGTCGTTGAGCAAATTTGCTAAATCGGCATCAGCGTAGGATTTACCTTGGAACATCATTGTAGATACATTCTTAGAAGACTGAAGACCGGCAATATTCTTCACCGCTGACCACCATTTACGAGAATCGGACTGTTGAACGCCCGCGATACTTTTATTGTAGTAATTTAGTCGTGCTTTTTTGCAAAGTGCATTGACGTTTCCTTCCCTTCTCAAGGTGGAGCACGTCCAAAAGCTTGCAGGAGAGTTCGGCTGGGTCCTTTAGAAACGTACTTGCCAACTTAAATCGCTAACTTAAAATCTGCGTATTTTGAAGTATTTTGTGTTTTGTTAGTTTTGCTTTGTAAGATATTTAAAATAGGATAATCACTTTAAGATATCATATGGAACATAAGGACTGCCTTGGGCTTGCATCTAGTCCTTAAGTTTGTTTTATTATATAGCAAGTATATTAGTAATGACATAAGCAATGTTATTATTATTAATATTACTTAATGACCGGACATAAGCAATGTGGATTGACTTTTTATGATACGCTGTACTAATAAAGGAAAGCTTCAATAAATTTCTTTACTAGCTTTAATTCATTGAGCGGTTTTCTAATTCCCAAGACACCAGAGTCCGTTTTATAGTTTCGTAATTCCCTGATTCCCGTTTATCCTGTCGAATTTCTGTTTCTTTTTTTCTGTTCTTTTCCCCCCGTACATATGATTAATATTACGTATTAATAATAATTCATAATTGCTCGATCCCCCCCCCCGTTACTCGTTCCTCCATTCCCCGTTCTCCGTTCCCTCCATTCCCTGTTCCTCCATTCCCCGTTCCCCCATTCCGCGTTTTTCGACGGAAAAGACGATCTTTTTGCCTGTATTCAATCTACAAACACTAAAAACAAGTTTACTAGTCGTATTTTACTCGTATGTACTCGTATTCTACTCGTATGTACTTGTGTTTTACTCGTTTGTTACTCGTATGTACTCGTGTGTTACTCGTATGTATTCGTATGTTACTCGTATGTACTTGTGTGTTACTCGTATGTACTCGTATGTACTTGTGTGTTACTCGTATGTTACTCGTATGTACTCGTGTGGTGTTTTAGTCACGATCGCATCACACATGTCGATTGGACAACTAGTAGCTTAAGAAAAGTTTTCCCGTCATACCATAACGCAATGGCACGTTTTTGACCAATTTTTTTTAAAAAACATCGAAATCTCTAAACAAGAAGGGCACCTTTGACGTTAATTTAGTATTTACAGCGACATTAGCTTGTACAAAAAGGGCACTTTTCATCACAAAAAGGGACACTTTTGGTCCTTTGAAACAATTTGGGAGGGGGGGGGGACGTGTTCCCTCTGCCCCCCTCTTCCTACGCCCCTGATTCTAAGACCACTTGATCCCGAGATTGAAGGCGTTATGTAGGATGAGAATTTCGAGTGGAAGATTTATATATATTTAATTTAGTCCTATAACCAGCTGCTGAAAATAGAACTATAGCAGGAATCGAACCTATGGCCCTGTAATTCCGTTGCAGTGCTCTAACCAACTGAGTTATAGAGTTCAGTTGTCGAACTCCAAACACAAGTTCTTGTTTATATACAGTATTTAGTACAGGTGATGCCATTATATAAGATATGAACAGATTGAAGGATTTATGTAGAATGGAAATTTCAAGCACAAATTTCAAGAAAAATCCCAAGCGCAAATTGAGATTTCCAGCGTCATATTCCCAAAAATCTTTATCTTTACCCACAGGTTCGATTCCTGTCAGATGACAGCATTTTCGCAGCTGCTCCTGTAGTTAAGTCTAAAATTGTATATATATTGAATCTTTCGTTATCAATTTACATCTACTGCATGCAGGATCGCCGAGAGAGAGGCAGAGGGGAACATTATCTCGGGCGGGGCTCGCAGAACAAGGGATCCTTAAAATTTGTTGATGCAAGATTGATGAACTCAGAATATAAATCCCAGGACCCAGATGATACATCTAAAAATCTAAAAAAATTAAGAAAATTGTCGGCAAAAAATAAACGATTTTATGTCCGCAAAATTTTTTCCGGCACCAAATGAACCATTTGTCCGGCGCCATATGTCGTGAAAAGTTTTTTATCAAGATTATATGTACAGTGTAATTTACAGCATGAGCTCCACAATTTACTATATGAGTAAATTGTTAAACGCGTCCAAATTTATCAACATGATAAATGCCAAATTCGCGGCCCTAAACCTTAACCTTAATTTTGTGTTACACAGCTTCGATTATGTTATATTTTCCAATTATCAGTAACCTTGCCCGCTCATTCAAGTGCTACAGTATGTATATCTATACTGAATAAAAAAACAATCAAAAAATCAAAAAATCAAAAAATCAAAAAATCAAAAAATCAAAAAATCAAAAAATCAAAAAATCAAAAAATCTAAACCTTAACCTTAATTTTGTGTTACACAGCTTCGATTATGTTATATTTTCCAATTATCAGTAACCTTGCCCGCTCATTCAAGTGCTACAGTATGTATATCTATACTGAATAAAAAAACAATCAAAAAATCAAAAAATCAAAAAATCAAAAAATCAAAAAACTGTTTTTGTGCTGTCGCGTCTGGGCCGCCGTAAATAAGGGAGTACATTTATTATGCTGAAGGGTGGGGGGGGGTGAAGATGTTAAGGGGGACATCGAAATATTCTCTGGCAATCTGGCATTGAACGGGGGGCTCGATATACTGACGGTGGGTGGGGGGTAGCTGTAGACTTTTCAAAGTTTTGGTCCAGCAGTGGCCTGGAGTGTTCACTCCCACATAGTTAATGGATAGATGGTTTGAAAACTCCCCCTACTGTGAAATTCAGACAAAAATATATAAAATTCAAGTTAAAATTTTGACATTTTCAGGTAAAATTTGCGTAATAAAGTAATTATTTTTGTGAAATGATAACCATTTTTGTAAAATACATGCGAATTTGCGAATTTGCTTTAAAACACGCCAGAAATTCAGTCGTAGAATGTAAACATTTTCTGGGGGAGGACCCCCAGACACCCTTTTTCTCCCGAAACTTAATATGAGAGTGCCAATCAATCACAAAAAGCTTTATTATTATTATTACATGTATTATCCCCCAACATTCCCCCCCAAACGTCAGATGCTTTGCTAGGTCCCCCTGATGGTTGTATTCGAAACCGATTTCAGTTTCAAGATATCCTTAGTCTGCTCTTCTATAAATGGATACATGAAATCACCTATAGCTCACCTAAATTTTTTTGGCACCAATCTAAAATTTATTTTTTTTAAAAAGGGTACCATTTAATCTGGCGCTAGTGAGGTGAAAGAAGCAGTAGGTCGGTATTTTAGTTGAGGAGAAGTGGGGGGACGTGTTCCCTCTGCCCCCCTCTTCCTACGCCCCTGATTCTAAGACCACTTGATCCCGAGATTGAAGGCCTTATGTAGGATGAGAATTTCGAGTGGAAGATTTATATATATTTAATTTAGTCCTATAACCAGCTGCTGAAAATAGAACTATAGCAGGAATCGAACCTATGGCCCTGTAATTCCGTTGCAGTGCTCTAACCAACTGAGTTATAGAGTTCAGTTGTCGAACTCCAAACACAAGTTCTTGTTTATATACAGTATTTAGTACAGGTGATGCCATTATATAAGATATGAACAGATTGAAGGAAATTTCAAGCACAAATTTCAAGAAAAATCCCAAGCGCAAATTGAGATTTCCAGCGTCATATTCCCAAAAATCTTTATCTTTACCCACAGGTTCGATTCCTGTCAGATGACAGCATTTTCGCAGCTGCTCCTGTAGTTAAGTCTAAAATTGTATATATATTGAATCTTTCGTTATCAATTTACATCTACTGCATGCAGGATCGCCGAGAGAGAGGCAGAGGGGAACATTATCTCGGGCGGGGCTCGCAGAACAAGGGATCCTTAAAATTTATTGATGCAAGATTGATGAACTCAGAATATAAATCCCAGGACCCAGATGATACATCTAAAAATCTAAAAAAATTAAGAAAATTGTCGGCAAAAAATAAACGATTTTATGTCCGCAAAATTTTTTCCGGCACCAAATGAACCATTTGTCCGGCGCCATATGTCGTGAAAAGTTTTTTATCAAGATTATATGTACAGTGTAATTTACAGTATGAGCTCCACAATTTACTATATGAGTAAATTGTTAAACGCGTCCAAATTTATCAACATGATAAATGCCAAATTCGCGGCCCTAACCCTTAACCTTAATTTTGTGTTACACAGCTTCGATTATGTTATATTTTCCAATTATCAGTAACCTTGCCCGCTCATTCAAGTGCTACAGTATGTATATCTATACTGAATAAAAAAACAATAAAAAAATCGAAAAATCGAAAAATCAAAAAATCAAAAAATCAAAAAGTCAAAAAGTCAAAAAGTCAAAAAGTCCTTAATTTTGTGTTACACAGCTTCGATTATGTTATATTTTCCAATTATCAGTAACCTTGCCCGCTCATTCAAGTGCTACAGTATGTATATCTATACTGAATAAAAAAAAAATCAAAAAATCGAAAAATCGAAAAATCAAAAAATCAAAAAATCCAAAAAGTCAAAAAGTCAATGTTTTTGTGCTGTCGCGTCTGGGCCGCCGTACTATCTCATCTGGTTCCGAAGTTATACGCAAAAATGTGCAAAATATGAATTGCTGATTCAGCACAACGTGTGACGTCATTAGTTGGGTAAGTATGTTTATTGAAAAGTAAACTGAAGCATAGCTAAGTTATTATTGGTTCAAATCAAATGAAATTTTGCATACAGATAGTACATGATGAGACGCATGGGAAAATACTCCTAATTTTGTTGTCAAGGCAACACAGTCGTTCCCAGCCCCTTACACTGATTTTGAATAACTAGTTGCATTTATCTATGTGTATGTCATTTTCGAATTATTATCATGCAAGTAAACTTTTGGAATGCATAGGTATGGTACACATACTTCTGATATTATTTTATTCTTATAAGTACCATGAATAAAGCTGTTTTATAAAATTGGCGCAAGGGGCCTGGGAACGACATTGTTACCTTGGCAACAAAATTAGAAGTGTTTTTCAATGCGTCTCATCCTCGGTCCCAGGGCCTCACGGCTGACACTGCGTTGCCTCCGGCAACGCAGTGTCAGCCGTGAGGCCCTGGGACCGAGGATGAATGCGTCTCATCATGTACAATCAGAATGCAAAATTTCATTTGATTTGGGCCCATAATAACTGAGCTATGCTTCAGTTTAGTATTCATTAAACATACTTACCCAACTAATGACGCCACACGTTGTGCTGAATCAGCAATTTATATTTTGCACATTTTTGCGTATAACTTCGGAACTAGACGAGATAGAATAGAGCATTAAACGGCCAATCGGCTTATTTTTTCATGCTCTTTCAGATGAAGCAATAATTTTTTGTTGTTGCTAATACCTAAAGCTTTTAAATTTTGTGCGCAAACCATTTTTAGTTTGTTGGAAAAAACACCCCCCTGGTTCACAAAATTTGAGTTCGAGAAATTTTTTTCATTACTCCACATTATAAGTAACCAAAGATATATGATACATAAAAAATTGGATACTAATGGCTGTTTTGCGAAATTGAGAGCAAATTCATATCTGTTCAGTTTTTTTTTTAGAGGTCGGCTATATTGGGAGTCTGCGAGTTGCGAATCACAGCACAGGACCCCAGGTTATTTTTTTATTCAATAGTTTAATAGTGTAATAGTTATATAGTTTATATTTTTAGCCCGCATAACATTGGGCCATTCCGGCGCGCCTGCTCTTAGGGTTACTATTAAAAATAGAAGGAAGGCACATATCGCCCAAAATAGGTCAGACTTGCATACGGCGCCTAAATCTTTCTCACACACAACTCTCAAAACAAAGATGCTTTAATCAAAGAGCTTAATTCGCTTCAAAATACTCGATAGAACGACAAAATTTGGCTAACATATATCCGAGGCATGTATAGGTGCTGTGCAGTAAACAGGCCAATTCGTTAAGCCACTGATTGACCAACATATTCAACTGTTTTCTCCTGCATGCCTCGGATGTATTTTGGCCGAATTTTCTCGTTCCTTCGAGTATTTTGAAGCGAATTTAAGCTCTTTGATTAATGCATCGTTGTTTTGAGAGTTGTATGTTGTCATTCTTGCCGGGGATATCGATCAAATTCGAGAGAAATGCATTTAAAGTCGAAAAATCGAAGAAAGTAGTCTGACCTATTTTGGGCGCTATGTTTCCTTCCTAGTTCCTTCTATTTTTACAGCAGTTTCACGATCGAGATACGCGACAACCTCAACCCAAAAGTTTGAAAACCTGAATAGTTGTGTTTGACATTTAGGGGCGGTCGCTAATTCAAAATCAGAAACGTAATAAGTCGTTACAGTAAAAATATACATTTATTCGATTCCGTCGAATAATTGCTAAATGATTGCTAGAATATTATCTTAAATTGAGAAATAAAATTAATTTACCTCTACCACAAGGTGCACTTGTCTTTATGTGTTAGTTGCACTTGTCTTTATGAGTTTCTTGTCTTTGTGTGATTTGAGCACGATTTCTTTTAATATCCCCAGTCATAAGACAGAGTGTCTCAAAGTGCACAGGTAAAGGTAAGTTAATTTTAATTCTCAGTGGAAGACAATATTCTGGCAATTATTCTGGCAATTATTTGACAAAAACGAATAAATAAATATTTTTAAAAACTTATTTATTCTATAAATAGCCTCAACTTGAGTCTGTTGATGTTTCTGATTTTGAATTAGTGACCGCCCCTAAATGTCAAAAACAAATATGCTCTCAAACTTTTTGCTTGAGGTGGTCGCGTATCTCGTGAAACTGCTGTAACCCCAAGGGCAGGCGCGCCGGCATACGGGCTAAAATATAAACAACTATAACCTGGGGTTCCTGTGCTGTGACTCGCAGACTCCCAACTCGCAGACTTGCAAATCGCAGACTCGCAACTCGCATACTAGACAAACTTTTTTTTATACACCCTGTATAAATCTATAAACTTAATACCTAACGCAGGGTAACATGTCAAAGTTGGATTAGACATCCTGTATATATAGTTGTGTTTCCGACTGGCAATATACTGTGACCGTGTACGGAACAAGTCAGCTAGTATACTACCTGATAATTCCGATATATCACTTAGCTGTTTTGCTTAATTAAAAAAAGTATATGATCGTACTCAGGAGGCAAATGACAACCTACCTTTAGGTTTTTTCGTAGGAAATTGAGTTGTTGGTTCTGGTGTTGTAACAAGTCCTGTTGTTGTAACAGGTTCTGGTGTTGTAACCAACCTACCTTTAGGTTTTTTCGTAGGAAATTGAGTTGTTGGTTCTGGTGATTGTTGTTTGGTTCTGGTGTTGTAACAAGTCCTGTTGTTGTAACAGGTTCTGGTGTTGTAACAGGTTCTGGTGTTGTAACAAGTTCTGGTGTTGTAACAGGTTCTGGTGTTGTAACAGGTTCTGGTGTTGTAACAGGTTCTGGTGTTGTAACAGGTTCTGGTGTTGTAACAAGTTCTGGTGTTGTAACAGGTTCTGGTGTTGTAACAGGTTCTGGTGTTGTAACAGGTTCTGGTGTTGTAACAAGTTCTGGTGTTTGAGTGGTAGGTTGCTGTGTTGCGGTTGGGTTTGTCTAATTAACAGAACAGAAAATATAAGGATAGCAAGTTAGCAACTAAATATTTTAACTGTGCCATACAGATCAATATTATAACTGGAGCAATATATTAAACCCTGCGAAAATTGTTACGGGAACACTTTTCCTAATCCTATAGCCATATTCTTGTTTCCCAAAGGTGGGGAAACCAGAAAGCAGCCTTGTTTTCGGCAACGAAAACCAACATGAGAAACACAATATTTTTCTTAACTTGTTGATAAATGTTCTGTCCGTTTTGCTAGAAAACGAAACAATGTTTTCAAGGTTTGGCAAACCTGGAAACATTTAAGGAAACATTGAAATTTTCAAACATGTCTCTGTTATCTACGCGTCGTTTGTGTTAACTTTAGTACATTGATCAATTCATTTCAAACCAAATTTTGTTAGTAAGTGAAAATATAGCCTCTGCCGGAGATGAAACGACCATGATACCTATCCATTTCTTGTATAATCGGAACATCCAATGACCAATTTGACGTAAACTGAGGTCTAGGCCTGTTTCAAACGTTGCGCTTCTCATGTGCCGAACGCATTAAAAACAATAGATAATCAGATGAAATACCTCATTATCTATTGTTTCTAATGTGTTCGGCACATGAGAAGCGCGACGTTTGAAACATGCCTTAGTGGTGGAGTGTTACAGGACATAATATGGTGGTCAACAGGTGAAGTGTTGACATAGAGACAACCAAATTACTAAATGCTTCTCATATGTTTTGTATTTATTACAAAATACAACAATACTATACACGTTTTATTTCGATAAGGCTGAAGCCGGTTGACCACAGTTTCACGACAGTACACATGCAGTAAAACCCATCCATAAACTAGTGCACAGTGTTGGTTACTAGTGAAGGTCATTTTTTCGTTTTACCCATCACTATTATCTTTGTTACAGGATAGTTCATTTGGTGTATTATAGACGTTTATTGTTTGCCCAAATCATCTTACCTCGGTGACTTTCGTTGTCGTTATTTTTGCACTAGGAGATGTTTGTGCGGTTGTAGTGGGTTTCTGGGTTGTCTGTGCTGGGGTCGAGACTTCTGTCGCTATAAACTCTGTTTCATTACAACCGTACATAGCTCTTGCTTGTCTTATATCACCTGTACTCAGATGCTCACGTTGCCCAAATTTCACGTCACGTTGTGGCCGCGGTTCTATCGTCACCAATCCTCTTTCCTTTGCAAATGCAGTCGCGGAGTAATGCATGATTGAAGAATAATCGTAGTCGATGTCATAGCTGTTGATAACGTCTTCACCAAATTTCTCAAACTGTGTCTCAAAACCTAAGTTAGTAAGAAAACCCGGTATAGATTTAGGTAATACTACAGTACAATAACCGGTAATGGCTACTCTCGCACTCCTCTTTTAAAGATTACAGAGAAATCCTTAAGATAATTTGCCAGCGGATATTTTCAAGAATATTCTTCAAATTTAGTAGCGTCTCATAAACTCAAGATATGAGTTGTTGAATTCAAGTCATATTTGGACTCAATTTAAAGTTATTGTCAAACCAGTTCGAAGCGTAAATGGTGAGGTTTAGATTAACATGTCAAAAGAAGAGAAGACAACGACCTGATCAGTGAAGAAAAGGAAGTGCCTTTGTGGAAGAAAAACCAGAAGACAGAAGTTATGATGAAGAGGTGGCTGGAGAAATGAGACGTAGTAAAAGGGATTCAATGAAAATATGATAAAAGGGATAAAAGGAGATGTAAAAAACACCTTGAACAATATGTCTATACCATACAGTGGGATTAAGGTCTTAGGAAGAAAAAACGCAATATGGTATTTCTTCTCATTATAAAAAATGATCATATGGTAATCGATGAAGGCTCAAACCATCAAAGTATTTTCATTCTTTTTCAGGCAGTTCCAACCAAGACTATATACGACTGATTACCTTCAAGAACATTTTCCTTGATTATATTCACGTAATTGTCTCTGTCCGGACGTGATTGTTCGTGGAATATTCCTAGAGCATGACCAATATATATATATATATATATATATATATATATATATATATATATATATATATATATATATATATATATATATATATATATATACCAGCTGATAAGAAGAAACACACGATTAGGGTGAGCATGTAAACATCATTTTTAGATCTACGTCTCATTACTGTCATGAATCTAAAGCAGTTTGCAGTTTAACCTTCTGTAAGTGAACACCCTCGGCCCCATATGTAAACTGCATGTCCACTAACAATAGATTATAATGATATTTAGGATTTTTGTTTTGGTGTCCACGTCTGCATGCTTGCGGGAGTTATTGGAAGGAGGTATCTGCTAATAGGGGAGGTCGGCATAAAAATTACTATAATAGAAGAATAGATTGTAAATCTATTATTTCGCTCAGTATGTCAGAGTTTTATGGACTGAATCTGAATCAGTTTTGTGATAGTTGATTGAATGAAATATTTGATGATACTCACCCATCTCATGCAGAGCAACACCATGCACTTCACAACCTCTACCTATAGATAACGACTGTTCACCACCATTACGGCCAACCTGAGAGTAACATCTGAAAAATATTGTTTGTTCTGAAACATGTGTAAAGTCAGCAGTAGCAAGGAGCCAATCCAGACCACACCGCATGTTGCAGCTGTTCTTATAACGTGCTCACATAATTAGCGGCTTTCATTCTTATCGAAGGCATTAATCTTATACATTTCTACATTCACATACATTTTTCTTGACTTACCCGTCTCCCTTGAAAAAGTGAACAAAATCTACATCGTCATCAGTTTTCACTCGCCATTTCAGGCAAGGTAGAGATTGCTCCCATTCTCTCATTGCACTAAGGATCACGCGGCGACTGGCGTCTATAATTTCGACGAGTACAAATAAAATTTAAAGTGCACCTAATCTCAATTCTTTTTATCATTGCATTCTTAAGAACTTCTGAAATGATACAATAACTTATTTTGAAGATTTTCGTTTGCTCGCTTTGTTTCTGAGATATTTCAGTACGTTTGTTTGGTATGCAAATATCGGGAATTTACGTCCCAGATGCATAATGACTTAAAGTAAAAGCTTGTATATCGTATTCACTATCGCGTTCAATCATTAAAATGAAGTTTGGAGTTGTGGGATGATTACATACCTATGTAAAACACCATTTAGCCTTTTTATGTATACGACAAACACTGAGAAGGAGGGATTTATGTCAGACAATGACCAGAGGAGGCGCAGCGTCCGAGGGCATTATGTGACATAAATCCCAACTTTCGAAGTGTTTATCATATTTAGTTCATGGTTGAGGAGGTTTTTCAACAAAGTTTCGTCTGCTTTGAAGTTTGAACGACGATTTTCCTTCATCTTTTCAGCTAATTAATATTCAAGGTGATTATTAAAGATAATCACCTCGGTACATCAAAAAGACTTGCTCCAAGTCTCTCTTTTATTGTCATATATAGTATCGATCGACTATAGTGTACATTACATGACGTAGTACCGAGAGGCGAAGCGAGAAAGAGAGACTTGTCAACTTCGGAAAATCTCGGTTCAAAACTGAACCGAAAATGCAAGACTTGCTTTAATTGTTTTCCTTCAATTTCTTTCTGTAATATTTACTATAATGGAACTCGTGTTATTTACACTGTGCTAGATCAATACATATATGCATATATACATCATATACATATTATGCTAATAAAAATATTGACATATGCCAAATTTGTTTAAATGATACTCTGCCATTTCAAACCCTTTCAAACGAGGAATATGTATTAGATGCAAGCAAAAGTAACTTGTCAGAGGAACATATGGATAGACTAAATCAGCTCAAATTTAATCCGTTTAATTTCAACAGCGACATAGCCTTGTGTGATAGTAATGCGAATTTAGATCATGTCTTGGACACAAACAGACTAACGTGTAATTACTATATACCGGAAAGTCTTAATATAAAACAACCTTCAAATCAGCAAAATCAATTCTCAGTCATGTGTTTAAATATAAGAAGCATCTCAAACAAATTTGATATGTTTAAACAACTTATTAAATCTACGAAGGAAAATTTTAAGATAATTGGTTTGACAGAAACATGGCTAGGCGATGAGAACTATAAAAATTTTAACTTGGAAGTTTATGATTTCATTAGTATGCATAGAAGTGGAAAAAAGGGTGGTGGAGTAGGTATATACGTTGCTGAAAATTTACAACATAAATTACGCAAAGACCTCAATGTTAACATAGAAGACACCATTGAATCTACTTTTATAGAGATAGCCACTGAAATTGGGAAAAATATTATCGTCGGAGTAATTTATCGGCCACCAAATAATAAGATCGAAGTATTTCAAGATGCTATAAATGAAATTTTGAGCAAAGTGGATAAAGAGAATAAGATCTGTTATCTCATGGGAGATTTTAATATTGACTTACGTAAATCAGAATCTTGTGATTTTGCCAATAAATTTACAGAACAACTTTTTACATCTTCTTTTTACCCACTCATAACAAAACCAACTCGAATAACATCCCATACTGCTACACTTATAGACAATATTTTTACTAATAACATTGACAACATTGATTCAAGCATAAATGGAATTCTTTTTAGTGATATTTCAGACCATCTACCAATAATTCACAAACTTTTTTTGAATACCCTAAGGCCTAATGAAGACACAGGAGAGAAATACTATACAAAAAGGATATATAATAAAAATAATTCTAGGTTTTTTACAGATGAAATTAAAAATGTATGTTGGGAAGGAACGATTTCTTGCAATAACCCAAACGAGTCCTTTAACCAATTTTCCACATTATTCACAGCTAGTTATGATAAACATTTTCCAATTAAAAGAATGAAAGTAAATAAGAAGATTAACAAGTACAAAAGCCCCTGGATGACAAAGTGTGTTTTAAAGTCAATCAAAAGGAAAAATAAATTATACAGTAAATACTTATCAGATCCAAATAAAATAAATGAGAATTTGTATAAAAAATATAAAAATCGATTAAATCATGTAATTAGATTGTCCAAAAAGAAATATTATGAACAAGAACTAATTACATATAAACATGATTCAAAAATGATGTGGAAAACAATAAATGAGATACTAAGTAGAAAAACAAATAAAAAAGAACTTCCAAAAGAATTTACTGATATGAATACAACAAATACTATTAAAGATCAGTTTGAAATTGCAAATAAATTTAATAACTACTTCGTCAATATAGGACCTAACCTAGCAAAGAAAATTACAAATACATCCAAAACAAATTTTAGCAAATATCTGACTCATAATTATCTAAACAGCATGTTTCTTGATCCGATAACAGAATTTGAGGTACAAAGTGAAATAAACAATTTGAACTCGAATAAAAGCCCAGGGTATGATGGTCTGAGTGCTAGAACGATTAAACAAGTAAGTAAGGAAGTATCAAAACCACTTGCACATATATTTAATCTGACATTTACTACAGGTATTATTCCTGAACAGATTAAAACTTCCCTGGTAACACCAGTATTTAAATCAAATGAAGAAAATAAATTTGAAAACTATAGACCAATATCAGTTCTAACTTGTTTCGCTAAAATACTTGAAAAATTAATGTACAAACGACTAATAAATTACGTTGGAAAAAATAATATTTTATCTGACCATCAATATGGATTCAGAAAAAACAGATCAACTGAACTTGCAATAATCGAACTTGTTAATAAAATTACAAAAGAAATCGATCACGGAAAATACACCATAGGTATTTTCTTAGATTTGTCAAAAGCATTTGACACCATTGATCACAAGATTCTGATCAGTAAATTAGAATATTACGGAATTCGTGGCATAGCAAGACTTTGGTTTGAAAATTATCTTACAAACAGGAAACAAATTGTAAAATATAAACAAATAATGTCAAACGAAATGATAGTACAAACTGGGGTCCCGCAAGGTTCAATATTGGGTCCGCTACTTTTTATCCTCTATATAAACGATATTCAAAACTGTAGTGATATAGCATCAATGCTATTGTTTGCTGATGATACAAATATATTTTACAGTCACTCATGCCTCAAAACACTAAATGAAACTCTTCAGACAGAAGTGGACAAAATAGCCGAATGGCTAAACACAAACAAACTATCTATCAACACATCAAAAACCAAATTTATTTTATTTCGATCCTCAAAAAAGAAAAAGAAACACGTAGTAAAGTTGTTCATCAATAACGACGATATCAAACAAGTCAAAAGTACAACCTTTTTAGGAGTAGTTATTGATGAATGTTTATCATGGAACGATCATATCGATTCCGTTGCAAAGAAAATTATAAAATCTGCAGGAATTATTGCAAAAATTCGTCATTTTACAAATTTGAATACTTTAAAACTAATATACTATGCTTTAGTCTATCCATATCTAATCTATGGCAATCTAATATGGAGTAACACATACAAAACAAGAATTCAAAAGTTAACAAATATTCAAAAGAAAGTAATTCGTCTTCTGACATTTCAGTCCAATTTTTCTCACACTGAAAAAATATTTATTGACATACAGATCTTGAATCTCAGTAAGTTAAATAACTACCTTACAAGTCTTTTCATGTTCCGATATCATCATTTAAAGAACTTGCCAAAAACTTTCACAAACTTTTTTATTTCAAATAACCAAATTCACCAATACAACACTCGAAACTCAACTAAACTTCATAAGTCTTATCAGAGAACTAACTACGTCAAGCACTCGCTTTCAGTGAAAGGGGTGGACGTTTGGAATAATCTTGACAGTAATTTAAAAATAATAACATCACGTCCCATTTTTAAGAAAAAATCCAAAATACACTTTCTATGTAATTAATCTTATAAATCACTTTAACTGTAATTTCTCTTCATGTAAATAGATATTTAACTCAAGCTTCTCATTTAAATTAATAAAAGTAAATACTCTCCTACAAATATTGAATGTAACATAACCTCACTTTTTGTAAATACTTAGAACCGATGACAATTTAACTATATATATTAGCACCAAGACTTTAAACTAGGGGTCTAAATCAAAAGCCTGTTCAAGGTTTCTATAGACTCCTAGCCCAAATGTTTCTACTTTATTTTACTTACTTTTTATGTAACATAATGGTATATCACATGGGCAAATCATTAAATAAAAAAAATATATATATAAGCACTGACAGAAAACAATTAAAGCAAGTCTTGCATTTTCGGTTCAGTTTTGAACCGAGATTTTCCGAAGTTGACAAGTCTCTCTTTCTCTCTCCGTGCTACGTCATGTAATGTACACTATAGTGGATCGATACTATATGACAATGAAAGAGAGACTTGGGGCAAGTCTATACATCAAAGAAAACCGACTCAATCATGAATTAAGTATAGTTATTTAACTGTACCTTGCATTCTTGCATGATCAGTCATTATTCGTATGTGACGCAAATTGCGGACATTTGCATATCAATAAACTGAAATAACTCGGCCGAGACAAAGTGTGCAAACGAAAATCTTCAAAATAAGTTATATACAAGATCATTTCAAAGGTTCTTGGGAATGAGATGTTAGAAGAATTGAGGTTAGGTGCACTTTTAGGTTGCTCTTATAACATTCTAGTAGATCTGGCTATAGTATGTCCATTACGGCGGAATATAAAACACTGACAACACTGAGTATACTGAAAAACAGGTATAAAGACATTGGCTGAGTAATTTCGTAATTCATAATTCATTGAATCGTGATTCGTGACTGGATGCTCCTTATAGTTTGTTAAATGCCAAAGTTCCATTTTATTGTTCAATATCTTTAGAATTTCTCTGAGATAAAAAATAAAGTTGCACGTCGAATGATTGTGGATCGGAATTAGGTAAAATAATTACATTCTAGATGACGCTACTTGGAGTGACTCACCAGCCTGGGGCACCAGGTTGGGTGGGTGAGCTCAAAATTGTTTGTGGTGGAAATCGAACTTGCAGGACCTAATCGAATCAACATGACTTGATCCGTACGTCATGCAGTTTGATTTCCGCTGCGATAGAGTATTATTTTAGTTTGTTCGTTTTGGAGGTACTCAACGTTGTGATAGGGTTGCATTGATTGAAAAGGAACTCACCATCTAAGGATTCATGTAGTTTATAAGGAACACCTTGATCAACGTTCCAACGAAAGTATTCAAAAGCAATAACAGCTCTCTTTTTTCTCGTCTGCTGATCAGGAGGTTGGAAACTATTAACACTCATTAAAATGTCGCCTTGATATATAAATTTGTCATCGCTTGCTTTCGCTGGAATGATACGGAAAAATTGTTTAAACACTAAGCAGTTAATAAAAGTACTATGTCTATGCAACTGCGCTTCATGTTTTAATCTAGTAAATCTATGGTACGTTCAGAAATCAGATCAGTCCTGCCCAGGCGTGGGATATCCGTCTATACTATACCTCAAATTCAAAGTGTCCAATCAGAAAGCTACGTTTGTGCCACGTGAGTATGAAATTTGTCATCGAATCACGCCTTACGTCATCGTATTTGACGTAGCGGGTGATTTCAATCATATCACATGTACAGGTGATTTGATGGCCGGCCGACAAAATATACCAAGGATATTACGGAGTGGTGAATTATTAAGTTTTCAAACTTCAAAGAAAGTTGTTTTTTTAATTATGAAGCAATTTTTTGAAAATGTTATCAATAATATTCCAAATGATATGTGATTCGAAATAAAAGTGACAAATACTTGTGTTAATAAGAAATGAAACATCGTCATCGTATTCACGAAGGTATATGTGGCAAGTTGCCAAGTTTTATAATCTCAATTTGATCTCAAGACTTTTAATTTTCGGTATAATAGATCATTTATAGACCCCCCGCTCGGGGGATTCGGTGAAATATTACCCAAAGTGATGATATCATCACTTCGGGTAATATTTCGCCGAATATCATCATTTCGGGTAATATTTCGCCGAATCCCCCGAGCGGACGGTCTATAAATGATAAATAGTGCTCAAAAAGCAAGCCTCAATTTCGGCTTTTTTCATTGCTCTGTTTCAATGTCCCTCCTGCAGGATATAGAGCAGCAGCTGGATATCAGAGCTGAAGCTGACATTGTTGCGATAGGAAAAAAGATAACGGTGAAGCGAGAATGTGTTTGACAGGTACGTTGAATTGGTAGTAGAGAAAATACCCATCCAGTCAAGTGAGCATCAAGGCATGGATATTTTCAATGCAAGGACGGCAAACACTTACAATTTAGAAAAAGAGCATGATCATGAGATGGAAAGATATTGTATATTATTTAGAAAAGATACCTTGGCCGAGGGCACTAAACCCGTGAGAAGAGATGCTCAGGATAGGGTGTTACTTTGTTTTGTCCTTGCTACAGCCGTGCTACTTAATTCACAGATAACTCACATGCCTAGTTGATATTGTTTTAGTTTACAGAATCATATAATGATTAGTATTAGAATCATGTATACGAGCTATTCACTCATGCATGTAGTCAGTAGATAATCCTAACTTTCTAAGGAATAGTCACCTTTGTTCTATTCTTGATGTTTCTGTAAACTAGAACAATAGTAGCTAGGCATCTGAGTTGTTAATTGGTTAATATAAACAAACGTTTATCGGTTAATATTAATGCCTGGTTCACACTGGTCGTAAGAATCCGGGATTTCCATTGTCTGTAGTCATTGGTGTGTAAAATGCTTTGTCTGTCGGAAAAGAATACAATTAATTACAACCAGTGTGAACCTAGCTTAAACAGTTAATATGGTTATAAACAAACGATCAGAGTCGTCGAGGGGCTGATAATAGAGAGGTTAAGATACCCCGGTTCCGGTTTACGGGTACGAGTATCGCCATTTTGTTTACCAATTTTTGCTGATGTCAGCAATTTTACTCGTAATTTCTACCCGTTTTCCCGCGGTAAACCGGGGTCTACACGTAAACGACAAACGGGTACGGGTGGTTTCTGTTTACTCTTTTTGGGCCGTTTAAATAGTACAAATTTTCAACATCTTACCCCAATAAATAATGCACATATGCTGGTCAAAGTTTTCAACAATTTATGGCGAACCTCAACAGCGAAAGTTGCCATTCTCTGATCGGTTTTCTCACGCCGGAGTATCTTGGATTTCTTAAGTTACAAGTTATTCCCCGATTTACGGGTACGGGTACGTGTATATCACCCGTACCCGTAAACCGGAATCGGGGTATCTTAACCTCTCTATTATCACAGATTAACGCGGTAAAGAAGAATAGAAAGGTATTTATAAGTGAGGAACTTGGAAGAATTTCTCGGACAACATCAAATCAGTAATCGAATTGGTACCATAAAATGTCAAGGATATCCACTACTGTAGGAAGCAATTTTGTATTGGGGGGGGGGCTGATTAGTCAGGGACGATTATTAGGTTATTATTACCCTCTCAAACGTTACAAATTATTACTAGTTTACAAGTTATTGTGGGGAGGGGCTGTTCATGATTTTACTATGCATAAATTTAAAAAAATCTTCCAAAGAATAAAACTACACTAGATTTTGCACTTATAGTATTTTACCATACTCACATCTTGCAAATGCATTGACGACAACAATACGATCAAACAATGAAGTTGTGTTGTCTATATTTTCATCGGAGCTGTTGCCAATCATATTATTGCGAAGTTTCAACCATTGTTCCTGGTCAGTGTAAGGTAGATTGATATCTGTGACTGTTCCATTCTGTTTCTTTCCCACCAATTTTATCTTAAGCACAACATCTTCCTTCAATCTAATCGTTATTGTGAATCCTAGAAATATAACCAAAACGAACACGTTTTTTATGATTCCTTAACTTGCATGATAGTTTGGCCTATTACAAATGACCTAAAAAGGCTCTCATTAGTAAATTACGCAAGATGATTGGCTCACGAGAGCGAGGCTCCCAGGCCAAATGATGTAATTATCGAAAGAGTGTATTGCCTGACTCAAAATCTTGTATTTTCCCCAAAATTCCTGTGGAGGGAGGAAGGGGAGGGTGGGGTGCGGATGGGGGCAGGCGGTTTCGAAACATGGATTAAGACATTTTGAACTCTTACCTACTTGGTATAACAATGATCAATTAACTGATTTAACGTTGAAAGGTAAACATTTGTTTAGATTAGTAGCTCACGCAAACCATGGTTAATAGAGGAAATGGTTTGGAAACTCGTTAGCATTACAATAAAATCACAATAAACCTCATTATCTATGTTGTTCAGGTTTATGCAAAAATGTGGTCTTTCATCGTCACGTGCGTATTGTATTTTTCTCAAGTCAACCAATAGGAATGTTCAAAATGTCCTATTGTTAAAGTCATGGATGGGCAATTAGACAAAACCGTTGCTATTGGCTGGTTGAGCAAAAATACAATACGCACGTGACGATGAAAGACCACATTTTGCATAAACCTGAACAAAAACATAGATAGTGAGGTTTATTGTAATGCTAATAAGTTTCCAAACCATCTTTTCTATTAACTATGCGCAAACGTAAGCCATGTGGTAGTATCAAGGTGACAAAACATGCATGGACATCAAATAACCCAATACGGCCAAGTATTCTGGTATTACGATTTATGAAAATTTAACATGGACGATTGGACGGACCATATATGTTAAAGTTATTAAAGCGTTTACGACAAATTATTGTTAAGGACTGTTCAGGAGGAACTCGTTACTGTATAACTCATAAACTCATCATTTAGTCTGGGGATATAACAACAACAACGTTTTAATGGTGATTTCAAATTCTGAACATGGCCAGAAATTCAGGACATACGCCCGCATGTATTTCAGCGGTTATCCGCATGAAAAGTTATTCATACCTAACTAAAGCAAGCTGCACGCGGAAGAGATCTAGAGCCTGGTTTCTTAGCTTCGCTGTGTAACCCACTGGTGTAATTGATGGGTGTAACCCACACTAGCTGGACGAAAGCCTGGTTCCTAAAGGCCATGTTACACGGTGCAATTTTTTTGCAACTTGCAATGCAATTCTACTCTTGAGACATGTAAAATTGCCAAATATGAGTCGTCATTACACTCCGCTGATGTTTTCTCAACATATTGAAAATTCTTCACTGATTTCACTGATTAACATCTCTCAAGAGTAGAATTGCATTGCAAGTTGCAAGAAAAATTGCACCGTGTAACATGGCCTTAAGTTGATATCAAACCAAGAGAAAAGGTGTGTATAAAACTATTTTCATCAGTCGAAGCAAATAATGATCATGCACAAGACGACAAGTTAAAGGAACTAATGCCTCCAAAAAATTCAATGGTAATTAATTTCAGAACAAACAGAAAATATGATCTTCCCAAGATGCGTACGAACAGATTTAGTATAATTCCTTTATTTCAATTCTTCAATTCTCAGTAAGGACCAGTGGCGTAGTCAGCCGACAATTTAGTCCCGCTATGCAAATTCTAAATTATTATCATTATTCATTTCTTTAGAAATTGATTGTTTTCACAGTCAATGAACACGAAAATATTTGCATAGCGGGGACTAAATCGTCGGGCTGGCTACGGACTCATGTGAAAAGAGTCAGACAGACGGTTTTCTCAGATATCTTCTGTGATAAACACAAATAAGGAAGTCAAGATTCAATTTTCAAATTTCAAGTTTTCGTGACTATACATGTGCATGAATAATTTGCCCGAATACCTTGATTTTGAATTCCATATTTTGTTTGGGAGAGGACAGTTTCCTTCCATAAGTTATAAATTCCAATCCGACTAAAGTTCACATTGTGGAAAATAGAACTCTCTTTCTCTAAGACTCTATTTAGATATACAGATATAGATCGACAATCGTGGTCCATTTTCGGCCGCTTGATATAAAATAGCGCCACTTGCCCTCCTGCCGTATGTGGCAAGCAGCGCAATATACTTCGCTGTAGATGTCGGGACCGGCTCTATGAGGAATCATACAGAGAATTCATACTGTACTATGGGCTGTTTGCATGGAGGTAGGGTGACTTGGTAATTGGTTACATGAGAGTTATTTGATAACTTTTTTTATCAACAACCGCTTATCCGGAAAAAAATAGTCAATAAGACATATATTTTGAACAACATCTCACAATCTCACAAATGAACGAAATGGTAAATTAAATAGTGCGATTCCTTATTAATCTTAAAAGTTTTCAAAATAATATATATCTTGTTGCATTGACTCCATGCAAAGGTAAATTCCAGTTTTAATTTCAGGCTGATTTCGGTGTCGTGTTGGGTCCTACTCAAATATGCACGACTTTTCGCATGAGTGAAGCAACAGCGTGCTTAATTGCTAAATTTTTGGACTTTGGAGATGCTTTTCTTGTACGAGCATTTGTAGTATTTATTACTTATTTATCAACTTTACAAACATACAAAAATTATAACAATGATTGAAGGTATATGGTCAACAAGACATAAATCCCATGTGAAGTCTGACCAACCTGATACAATACAATAAGTAGACATATTAGAACACTATTTATAAAAATTAATAGTTTAGATTATGAGCAACAGCTTTAGTTGAAAGAACGGCATTTAGAGCAGTAGGTTTTCCAAATGCGCATTCTGTTATAAGTGTATAACAAGTTTCACGTTGTGAGTTATAATAAACATGTAACCGACCCAGTTGTCGTGATGCCATCATATGATTGTCAGTTCGGATTAAAGTTCAAGTTGATAAAAAAGGTACTAATTGGGTTCAACAAGAGAGACAAAGTTGTGCCGTCAATTTAACGTCATGATAATTAGTACCTTAGACTTCGTACCACTTGCCGAGATTAATTGACCGAGCTGCATATAGGTTAGTGCTGTAGCTGGCGGTTTTAAATGCTTTACTAAGAACTACCTTTTTCTCTAAAAGTCCCAGCTCTTAATTTGGATAGTCCAATTTATGAATTAATGTTGCCCTAGCTTGGATAAATGAAGCGGAATTGCTTCAATGACACAGTCGAGGCGCTTCAACTCAGCGCTAATTTGCTGAGGATCGGTTCACTTCAATAGTTCAATTGAGGTATTTAGAACAAACCAAACGTGCAAATATATCATATACCAACTACCAACCTTTACTCGATCCAGATTGATAAAGACCAACCAAGCCGATGACCAATAAACACTCAAGCCAGGAAAGACGCATTTTCTCTCGATTTCAGTGCAAGACAAAATCTTCATAAACGCAGTCTGTCAGAAATACGAGCTGTCGCCACAGCAGGAATATTTCCCTGCATAGGTTGAAAAAGTAAGCTTCAATACCAATCAAACAGTTTACTTAATTAATGCGCACGCTGTGCACTTGTCACCACCGGGGTAACCGCCACCATTGACAACTGACTAAACAGTCAGTATATACATTTTAGAAATACATTAACTTGGTTGGCCTATCAACAACCTGTTCTAAACTCTTTTCCACATTGCTAAGTTAACTACTCACAATCAGATTTAAAATATATTTGCTCATCAAATCTACATTAAGGGAAATTACATCTAATTTGCATTTTTGACGATCAGCCAGTTGGGAATGCTGGGAGTCGGCAGACTTATTGGTTTGGATTAGCAAGCGTTACTAGGAAATGATGTCACTTACATATGACTACTAAACTACACTGATCTTCAATAATACTTATTTACCATCAAATACACAGTGCAAGACTACTACATATATGGACAGAATTATAACATTGTTTTCTCACTCTGATAACTACCACTTGACCAACAAACTGTATGATAATATTTAGTGAATCCTGCCTAAATGGCTAAAGATCTTTCAAGGAGTAGAGTAGTTCTCGAAGACATATTCTGTAACCACAAAACAGGCTACAATTGATATTCAAAAATGCCAAAACCAGCACACACAGCTCAGCACCAAGGGTCACCCAGGGAAATTAATTTGGGGGCTCAGAGCAAAATTTGCCTTTGGGCCCTTGTGATTCCATTTTCTAACACTATGATTAGGAGGATCCGGGGGCATTCTCCCCGGGACAATTTTGAAATCTCAGGTCCCAAAATGGCCAAATTCTGCATTCTGGAAGTCTAGTTGACAGTTGTATTTATGTATATTTCACTGTAATTATTTGCTTGAGGCCCTCGTTAACAAGGACCCCAGGGCAAATTGTGCCCCTCTGGGCGGCCTTGACAGCACCGGCAGTTACTGACTATCTATGACAGCATAGTTTCATAATCACATGCTTGTAGAAAAGTCGGAATATTAAATTTCGTCTTGGCAAGTGAAAGGCGGCATCCAGGGGCATGCATCCACGGAAAATCAATTGTTATGTAGGTTTCCTAAAGGGCATTTCCTGCAATGTGCGGGAAAATTCTATATAGAATTCTGAAGATTAAATACAATTACAAAAAGTTAAGTATCATCTACTCCATCTTCCAAGCTCATAAAGAGATTTGTGGTGAGAGAATTTGTTCATTCTGATGAACGCTGAGGTATAATTCCGCAGTTTTGCATTGCGCACTTTTACTGCGCACATCTTATAACTTATAATTTCATCGTTATACGCACCGTTTAAAAAAATATATAATTTTATGACAATTTTATGTTACTTCAAAACATCTTTCGTTACATTCGTGCAAAGAATTACGTTAAAATCAATGTTTTCAAAAAAGGCATACAAAAGTGTAGCTAGGGTTCCCTGTGTCTGTAGTATATTTATTTACTTGTATTTCACGTTTTAATGCCACAATTCCCTAAAAAGATCGGTGACCCCCGTTTTTTAACTGATAATTTATTTCCTTAATGCATTTTACATTTCATATCCGAAATTAAAAGAAAAATCATTTCTGGATCTTGAAATGCTTTATCAATGCATGTTCCGCTCCGAGAAAGATATGTAAAGAAATGTGGAAAAGACATTTGTGGATCAGAATTGTACACGTTAGCATGGGCATCCCGGGGGGGGGGGGGGGGGGGCTGGGGCGGTAGCCCCCCCCCCCAGTTTTTTGGGCAGTCGGGCAATATTCGATCAACAGTCGGGCAATTGTAATAAAAATAAATGGGACAAATTCTGTCAATTTAGTGGAAAATTCAGTCAATTTTTTTTTTTTAATTTTTGTGATGTTCCGAAAAATTTTGGTATGTCCGGAAAATTTTTTTTGACCCCTAAAATGGTACACTGACCGAAAAATTTTTGGCGACGGGGGGGGGGAGGGGGGGAGGTCGCCGAAATAATTTTTCCGGAAAAAAATTTTTTAGGTACTAGTCTGGCACAATCCCGAAAAGTCGGGCAAATTTCTTTCCGCCCCCCTAATTTTTTCCTTCCGGTACGCCCATGCACGTTAGTAGTTTTATTTTGCTCAAAACACGATATTTTTTCAAAAATAATTACAAATCCGCGCTAAAAACGTCAATAAATATCGGGCTGTTGTGAGTTTGCTGTTACTCGTAATGAGCGTCAAGATGGCGCCATATTGGGGGTAAAGGTGGTATATTGTGATTGTCATGTCTTCTTAACGAGTTCGGTGACCCTGACTTTTTTGTGTGGTTTTACCTTCTATTAACCGTGGTATATCATAAACTCCATGCCTGGACCTCATTGCCTCATTTTCTTGTTAACAACTTATCACGGCAAATTTTATCACTCATGCACATTAATGCACATTTACAATTTGTCACTGCACATTTTACTTTTATCACTGCACAAATTGGTTATCACTGCACACTAAAATTAGGTAAGATAAAGACCAAAGTTCTGGTGAATGCAAAACGTCAAAAATAACAAGACAAAAGTATACCTAGAATCCAATATTTTGCGAAAAGAACCTTTCTCTTGGAATGGTAGAAAACTAGAAATATTTGACCGAATTTCATTTGAGCGATTTCTTAGCCAGAACTCTTGTGAGACAATCTGGGCATACTGCATGCATTACCAAGGTATCACCTTAAGCGTTAAATTGTAGAGCGTACATTTGGTTTTATACGCGATATTTCAAACGAAAACTTGAAATGATCCTGACTTATAGAGTCAGTGGTTTTCAGCTTTTTTATGCGAGGAAACAGGCATGGGGTTAATGTGGAAGATACTGGGGTGAAATTATAATCAAACAACTGCTGTATACTCGGTTCAGGAATTGTTCAAAATTGGTGGGCATTGCATGTACGTCATACACTGTACCACCAGTGACTGCTAGACAGCGCAGCAGATAGTGGTCAACCAGCAATCATATCACAGAGAGATAATAGTGTTAACACACCTAACCGTTTATTGCACCCTCGCCCCAATGGTCTCGTTTTCATGTAGTTAATGAGGGTTTGAGCAAGACAACGAAGTAGTAAGGCGAAGACGTACTTGACAATTTATGCCCGTGAGTTTGGGGCGGTGGTTTTTCAACGAAGACAAACGAAGACACACGTTGAGCAGGCACCAGTGAACCATTCTGACTCAGTATGCGAAAGATAATGTGCAGGTAGAGTAGGCAAAAATTGTCAAGTATTGTCAATTTATTGTCAATTTATTGTCAATTGTCAATTTATTTAAGTTTTGTGCATAATATATATAGAGTTTAGGATACATAGCTTTGTGATTGAAATATCAAGGTTATAGATGCCAAACCTTGAGGAAAACAGGAGGAAACAGTTGTCTTATTGATACAGTTGTCTTTTATGGGGCTCAAGATCAAAGAGAAACATATCTGGATATAACCTTCATGTGTGCCTGCATGCCATGCTAAAGGTAAACATGAAAACGAGGTCATTGGGGCAAATAGTGCAATAAACAGTAAACTAGTCTATTCTCTTCATTATATCTTTAATATTTGGAAGCAGATAATAAATAGAATTGAGATCTGTAGTTTGATTTTTTCTTGCTTCTAAAAGTGTCAATATTTCTGAGGTTGACCACCATCTAGTCACTACGTACCATTTGTGAGCTACTGTGAAGCGTGCAACTACGTTTCAAAACGTTTCTTCTATGGTGTCCCATCCCCGCCAAAAATCAACTTTTTATTTTCATCACAACTTTTTGTTTGCAACACAACTTTTTGTACACAACATGTAATATTCAACACAACTTTTAGTTTGCAACATCATTTTCACTGTATGATTTCTTATTTCCAACACAACTTTTTATTTTCAACACAACTTTTTGTTTTCAACACAACTTTTTGTTTTGAACACAACTTTTTGTTTTGAACACAACTTTTTGTTTTCAACACAACTTTTTGTTTTCAACACAACTTTTTATTTTCAACACAACTTTTTATTTTCAACACAACTTTTTATTTTCAACTTTTTTTATCCAACCGCAATCCACTCATGCCATGTATCGCGGGCTCGTATTGTGTATAAATCACTTCAGTCATTTATATAGCGGCATTTCCGCGTAATTTCCCGCACGTTATATTCAACAATAGTGGATCATTCAGGGCAGGACTCAGGAGCGAAACTAGATTCTCTGAAATGCCATTTCGTGCACTTTATAAGGAGATTTACAAGATAACAAAATGTCATAAAATATCTCAAATTGTTTTGTCTACTCGCGTAACTGAAATAATATCAATTAACTTTGTGGTTTATTATTGACCATTGGTAAAAAGTATGGGGGGGGGGAAAGAAATTTAGGATCCCTCAACTAAAAAAGTGGGGGGCTGGCCCCAATCCCCGCTTTCGACGCCCCTGAATTTTAGGGTTGAACAAAGTGAGAGCTACTTGTTTAATTTACAGGTAAACTACAAGAAGCTCTTTTAAATTCCTAACTCATTTGGAATTTTCCTCATTAGGAACTGGTCATAAAGTATAGGGGGGAGGGGGGGTGGGGGGCTATGGAAATTAAATATTTAAAATGCTAATTTTGTGTGGCCCACCCCGGGAAAGTACAAAACATGGACCCCACCATGGACCGGGTCCACGGACCCGCGATTTCTCAATGGCCCCATCTATGAATGAATGTTAACAGGAATTTTGAATACACCCGAATATAAATAACCCTGTACAGGGAGAAAACAAATTTACTTGCAAGGTCAAAATGTTCTATTAATTTAATTTGTTCCAAATAACACTTATACATCCAGAGAGCTAGTGCACAGCTCACAAAAATGTATTAATCGAAGCAAATCAAATTGTGGTTTATTATTTCAACACTTTGCTGGCAGTGGTTTCTTTATAATCATAGGCTGTGATCATTGACCGGCTTTGCAAGTCAGTAACACTATTATTATTCACATGGTGCATTGATTTGTCATGATATGTCATTAGCAAGCCTCGCTTTAGTATGAAGAAAACACTGGAGTGTAGACGAGGTTTGCTGCTAAGAACAAAAGTATGCTTTAAAACCATTAAAATATTTTTAAAAATTGAAAACTCGAATCATGTTTAACAGTAATATTGAAATTTGGAAAAATGCAGCCCATGGAGGGGGTCCATGGACCCGGTCCATAGAATAGAGGGGGTCCAAGGACCCGGTCCATAGAGGGGGTCCATGGACCCAGTCAAGACAAGGGGTCCATGTTTTGTACTTTCCCGCCCACTCCTAACTTTTCTACAAATACACATGACCCACCCCTATTTGGAACTGGAAATTATAATGATCCCCCCCCTATTCTATTTACTTGCTTCTTATAGACTGATTCAGAACTAGACGCCTCAATCTGGCAGTATTGTATATTCTATTCAGTCTTTTGCTAAATCTAGCGCAAATTGGGATTAAGATTCAATTTCTCAACGACAATAAATGGTATTATATTTTGTAAAGCCGACAATTTCGAAATATATTTATATAAAGGTTGCAGTTATTGATATCTTGCTTTAATTTAAATTTATTTCAGGACAATTTGGGATATTATTGTTCTTTTAAATAACTGAGTGTATTAGTCTGTTTTGACTGTTCGAGATTGTCTCACAGAACATGCTACATTTTTAGTTGATCACCAAGCAATTTGAATAATGTCAATAATATCTTGACGTAGTTTACCTATAAAGGTAGTTGAGCAAATTTCATCGATAAATGATAAATATTCATATTTTTAATAAAATTGTACTTTATTACAGTAAATATGGCAAAAACTCGTAATAAATGTCTAGATAGGAATGCAATTCTGCCGTTCTGGTCACTCACTGTATACTATAATTAATTACTGAGTTATATTTATTCCTATGGTTGCCGGCAAGAAAGTCAAATTAAAATGCGAAACATTTTAAAAGCTATGCTAAAATATTTGATAACAAAACTTAAATCGATTATAGTTTTACTACATTCTTACAACGTTTTTCGAAAAAGGTGCGAGCCCGCGATACATGACATGAGTGGATTGCGGTTGGATAAAAAAAGTTGTGTTGAAAATAAAAAGTTCAGACTTCTCAACTTTGCAGAGAAGTTAAGAGTGAGATTGGGGATGTGACACCTTTGTAAAAGTCCGGGGGTCTGAAATGGCATTTCGTACATTATGAGAGTTGGTGTTTTTTAATGAAATACGTGATTGCTTCATAACGTCCTTTAAGACAAGGCACTTTAGTTACAATAACTGCCTTTGATAATTTACATATAGAATTCTGCTCCGACTGATTCTGCCTTTTGTCCGCCGTATTTACATAGAGGGGGGTCGTATTCCCATTTCCCAGCCCAAATTTCGACTAAATCCCATTGTCCCAGAGCACAAATCCCATCATCTCAGTGGCTGTCCTGCTCAAATCTTAATCCCATTCCCATTTTCTATTGTTTTTTTGCTGATGAATCCCAGTCCCAGTGCATGAAATCACATTTTCCCACCCAAAAATAAGCAAATCCCAGTTCCCATTTTACCCCTTCAGGACTTTCTACATATGCGTACTATTTTGTATCCAAATTGCATTTAATTGCGGGCAAAAGCCAAAATGTCGGGCCGTATATGCAGGAACAAACAAATTCAATGAAAAGGACATTCGGATATGCTGCTGCTAAAGACTGGAACTATAATAGTAAAAATTTTAAATCTACTTAATTCATTTGTAATATATATATTTAACGTATCGCTTCGACCCAAACATTTCTTATTTTAGTATCTTTTAATATTTTTATAATAGTATTTCGAGTTTTAATTTGTATTTAGTAACACGGCCTAATGAAAAACAACCTTTATAATTTTTGTAAATACTGATAGGTAATATGGTTGATTAGTTACCGTGTATAAAGATGTTGTAATAATAATAATAATAATAATAATAATAATATGCAGGAACAACAACACGCGATTATATATTCGATTCGCGATCCGTATAATGATTAATAATGTGCATTTAAGAATACAATATTATATTTATTTATTGAAAAAATAGTATGAAACTGCTATATGCGTGAGATTTACTAGACGTGGCGTGAGAGCGTGAGAGTGAAGCGAATTGCCGGCGTGAGACTCACGCCGAATGCGTGAGAGTTGAGAGGTCTGAAAGTTGTGTTGAAAATAAAAAGTTGTGTTGAAAATAAAAAGTTGTGTTGAAAATAAAAAGTTGTATTGAAAATATAAAGTAGTGTTGAAAATAAAAATTTGATTTTTGGCGGGGATGGTCATGGGACACCATATTCTTCAGCCTGAGTTTGTCAATCATAACTTTTTATTTTACCATAATAACTTTTGTGGGCGTGGTGTCAAGCACATTGTTTTGCACGCGAAAATTTGTTCTTATTTTTCACACGGACGCGTTTATACTGACAAAATTGCTATATATAGAAAGCGAAATGACAGATTTATAGCACCTTCTGGATATGATTACGTAACAAACCTCAATAGTACAAGTGTCCTTTTGAGTTTTGAGGCCGAAATTCAAAGTTTTATACCACGCCCACAGAAGTTATTATGTCAAAACAAAAAATTTTAGGAGCAAAACAAAACGTTTTGAATTAATGAGGGCGCTGAAGGGGTAAAATGGGAACTGGGATTGATCTATTTTTAGACTGGGAAAATGGGATTTGGGTTGCTGGGACTGGGATTTGGCCACTGGGAATGGGAAATGAAGTCCTCAAAAATGGGAATGGGATTGAGGTAATGCGAGTCGATTCTCAATTTTTCTGCGTTTTGAGTATTTTAAAATACAATTTTGATCCGTTTTTGGTGTCTTTGGTCATGAGTTTTGTTGTTAACTATATTATTCACAGCACTACCTGCGAACAGGCATACTCTGGCGCCCGGAATTCTGGGTTTTCTGATTATGCGTGTCTCAGAATGCTGCAAATGCCATTTCCGGGATTCAAATTTAAAAATTTTCCGTGCCTTCGACACGAACACCCCCTAATATTTCATAAAGTGTCCGCCACTTGCTTAAAAGGTCTTAAAACTGTTTATTCTACCGATAAATAAAGGGTTTTTTATTGACTGGGATTTCAATAACTGGGACTGGGATTTCTAATAAAAATCCAACTGGGACTGGGATTTTGCCAAAATTTCAGATGGGAAATGGGATTGGGACCCCCCTTCAGGACCATCATTAATGACAAACTCATACTGAAGAAACGTTTTAAAACCTAGTTATAAATGCACGCTTCACGGAAGCTCGAAAATGGTTGTACTGGATACCAGGCTGGTACAGTCTCACTAACGCCCACCAATATAGCAAAACACAATCTATAAGATCCTGTTTAGCGTTATCCTAGTAAGGCCTCTGCCAGTTCGAATGGGCGTGGGAGGTCGATTTCGAAACGAGGCCGCAAGAAGAAGACAATCATGCAATTACTTTAGAGAAATAATGAACTTACAGTGCAGTCGAAAATCATGGCCATGGAGGAGATTTTTTTGCATGTTAATACGTAATACGCGCTCAAAAACTAATGAGTGTAATATACCACGTCTTGCTGTTATGACTATATATATATATACATCCAAAATTTTTATTTTTCAATACGTTTCTCAATATCGGCAAACAAACTTAAAAAGTATGTTTATCTGTAAAATAATGCCAAAATGAAGAGATTTTAGATGGTACGCCAAAGAGAAAATGATGTCTGAAGTTCAGTAAGTTTTGCTTATATTGCTGTATAAAGATGGCGTCAATTTTACAGCATCAATGATAATTGTATTTAACAAAAAGATTTTAGGTTTTGAACATTTTTCATCGCAAATACGTAACATAGAAAAACATTGCCTCTTAACCAAGTGGCCAAGTGAAACATTCCAAGAATAGAGAAGAGAGCTCAAAATGCGAGGGACATGCGAGAGTGATGTCATAACAGAAGAACATGCGGGGCTTATTTTTGATATCGATGGACAACAAAAAGGAAGTAGGGATGTTGAGGATACTGATGCTTCCCAATCGTGTTGCCAGGCAGACGTGCCGAGTTGAACACGCCTAGTATAGCTATGAAGAATTATGATAAGATCAATAATTGATGACAATAGTAGTTGGTTCAGTTCAATATCCCGCCAGACACCACAGGTTTTCATCTAATACAGGGCTCTCCACCACTCTAATTTCCTCCTGTAGATCATGAACTGAATCAAAAAGCCTCGCCACCTGTATATTCTTGGGTTTCATATGACGTCACAAAAGCGACGGGGGTCAACTGTACAAGACACAGTTATCAGAGTGAGTCGATTGTTCGTTCTATGTATTAACCTTGTGCTTGGTGGAAAATACATGGAATTTCGTATCATTTTCTCACTCCAGTACAACATAAACATCAATACATTTGAAGTTGCCCCCCTCGTCAGATTCACTGCATAATGCCGTAGTGAAACCCAAGAATATCCGATATATTGACTCGATCGTGGCAAAACAAAATGCATCGTGAAAGCAATTAACTGCAGTCGATTATTCCCACTAGTGGTTTGCAATCGGTCCTTTGAAATTTAGAAGACAAAGATATGACGGCCATGTTGGAGGAAAACACTCCCCAAATACAATAGCTTCTGATGATATTCTTTTGTTAGCGCTCCGCCAACATTGATGCGCTCCTTTTCAGGTCAACTGCAAGTGGTCTATTTACAGATTGCATTCTCAACAGAGCAGATAGAATTATTTATGTACAGTATCAGTTGATATTAGAGAGGTTCAGATTTGACTTCCAGTATCGCTACCATTACCCCTCACTGGCTTAGTCCGCACCTGATTGGTTAAAATCGGATATACGAAACGCATCTGATCGGTCGGTAGTCCCTTAAAAAGCCATCAACAGACAATAAATACGAAATACTGATTGTAAAATAAAAATATATAATTTACAAGTTTTCAAGAATTCAAGTAATATACAGGGTATCTCAATATCATAAATGCAACAGCTATTTTCCAGATTCTTACACAGCTCAGATTACAAGTATGAGCTCGAAAGATATTATTATTAAAATGCTTGGTCTACTAGAACCAATGACAATGTTATGGTTTATAACATGCAATGTTGTGCATGATTTCATTGGTGTATTGGATCATCCAGAATTTTTTTAAACAGCCTTAAAAGAGGGTGGGAAGGGGGGGGGTGGTGGTATGGATCACGTTTCACAACGAAAAAAAAGCCGTTTCACGATTCACGTGTCTTATAAATAATATAATAATAATAGGTTTATTAAGAGTATGTTTAATGCATGGTACAGTATCTACGCTTTAGGTTCTCTCACTTCTTTACCTGTCAGTTAAAAACTACATCATAAAATGATCATAACTTCTCCAAAGATTTTACTCTTGTGCAATCGAGTACCCTGGTTTATTTTTCCTCTCCCCTTCGCAATGAAAATCAAATAAAAATAAGCCTCTGGAACCAGGGTAGCAATCGAGTGAGATCATATAAATTGATTATCGCGTATCATGTTTATCATGACTATATTACAAAATAGACATAGGGCGTTAAAAGATCGATAAGTGGGGGGACCATATTCATATATTCGTGTCCTGCATTATTAATTTATTTTGAAATCGACTGTTTTTAAGGTCTGTGAACACGAATATATGAATATGGTCCCCCCCACTTATCGATTTTTTGACGCCTATGAAAATAGATCGAAATAAACAAAGCAAAATCACAGTTCACGAAACATTAATGAGGAAAAGACATCGGTGGTTTTTTATGTGATAAAAAATATGTTCATTTACATAAACTTTAGCTCTTATTTTCTTGACTTAGACAATGTTAATATTTAAAATTACTTCACCAATGATCTCATAAGATGGGTCGTTTTTGAGCCATTTAAAACACTTCGCAGTTCGTGCTTTATTAGCCATTAAAAACACTCGCAGTTCGTGCTTTATGCGATAAATTTTCACAGTTCCACTCGACAATTAATATCTACAATACCTATAAAATACTATTTATTCGAGTGAGATGCCTCAAAAATCTTGATATTCACCCATGTGAGTATTTTCAGTATCCTAGTATATACTCAGCTAATTCAAAAAAATTGTCCTTTGCAAACCTTAAACTCTAAACCTTATACTCTAAGCGCGCAAAGCTTAAAGGGAGCACAAGTTTCAATTGCAGCTATTTGTGAATGAATTGTTCTCGTAAGGAGATACTTACCATGTCTCTAAGAAATGGGCCCCATATTATTATATGATTTCTAAACTGATTAAGTGATCAGTCCCATTATGCTTTGCAGTTAGAGTTTAAGGTTTATAAAGGTTTAGAGTTCAAGGTTTGCAAAGGACAACCTTTTTTGAATTAGCTGTATACTGTACATGAACCTGTGGTTACAGCTCGACAACTGGCTTCTGCAGCTCAGTTGGTAATAGAGTGCTGCACCAGAATTGCAGGGCCGCAGGTTCAATTCCTGTCAGCGACCTAAAGTTGCATTTTTCGCTTCTGTTCCTGGTTAGGTCTAATAAATGTATAATTAATACATTTCCACGCGACAATTTCCATCTACAATACCATCAAATATTATGAGATGCCATCAAAGTTATGAGAGAGCTCTCAGCCGTATCAGGTTTCAGTTAGTGATGGGCGATACCGAGTACTTGGTATTCGATACCAGCGATACCACAAACAGCGGTATCGGTATCGATTACTGACTTGGTATCGTTCGATACTTGCACCCTTTTTTAAACGACTTGTTTTATTTCACTTCTTGGTTGAATAAGACTTAATGAACCACTAAAATAACTGTTAATATTTCAAATGTGGTGCGCCAAGTCATGTATAGAAAATATTTATTACGTTTCGGGCTTTTGGTTTTACTTATAGCTTTATTTATGCACATATCAACGGCCTGCCCGGGGGGTACACCCCCGGGACAACCGGGGGGAAACGAGGGGGAATTTGGTATTTTATCCGTGTATTCTGCCCCGTGAACCCCGGGGAAATTACAAACTTCGCAATAATAGGACGACGGGGGGAGGGGAAGTAGGGAACTTTGGCGTGACAATTTGAATTTTATAAATGAAGTGAACAATTGGTGCGTACTCAACATCGCAGGCTCACGGAGAAAAATATCGATCGCCAACTTATAATCTATGATATTTTGTAGTGGTCTTGCTAAAATTTGAATAAATAAATACAGAATACATGAGTGCCATTGTGATACCCCAGTTTGTATGATAATTTCAGGGTGTTAGCCAGAAAAAAAAGGTTTTGTCCGTTAAACGTAAATTGGGAAAACTTTTTTTGACCGATCAAAGTCCTTGTGCAGGAATAAATAGTGTTTTTTCCAACGTGTTTCTTCCAACGTGTTTCTTCTTAGATGCAAACAACAGTGGTTTAGCTTTTTCTATTTCATTTCCGGTGAATGAACACGGATGCACACCGATGGCACTTTGTTTTGTGCATTTCATTTCAGTGAATACACACCCAATATGAATGAAACGCGATACATTTTGAGTAGTTAATGGAAAAAGTAAACAAAACGTTCTTTGATATAATAATATAAAATCAAATGCAATGCACTTTCTCATCAGAAAAAATGAAAATCTTCCAGTAGACTCGGTTGGGAAAGCCCCTTCAATTGGGAAGAATCCGTTGGGAAGAATCCGAAGAATCTGTCCGTCAAACGGACAGTATATGGGCTAGCTAACACCCTGAATTTTTAATTGCTTGTATGCTATTTATATTATGAACTACTTTATTCTAAGCCCCAGGGGGAGGGCAGTTTGACTTACACATTTCCCGGGGGAGGGAGGGGGAATTAATGCATTAGAATCATGTTTTTTCAAAGTCCCGGGGTATCCCGGGAGTGTACCCCCAGGGCAGGCCGTTGATATGTGCATTAGGTTACAAACAGTAATGTAAAATGTTTTTCCACTGACCGGCAAGCATCGAAAGTAGCCGATACTACCAATTTAAGTACTCACTTCCGGCATCGAAAATTGAAATTTTGTATTCATTTTGGTATCGAAATAGGTATCGGTATCGGCCGATACCGATCTTAAAAGTATCGGTATCGGTATCGAATTAAAAATCCTGGTATCGCCCATCACTAGTTTCAGTTTGGTTTCAGAATACTACAAGATGAAGTATTGATTTATCTTTACAATGAACCGCTGGTATGATAGTATGATACGCGCTGGCTCAAGTGGTTTCGGTTCCAGACTCCTGTAAAGATTCGCGTCCAAAATAATATCTGATACAAATCCGATACACAATATACATTCAATAAAGATCTTTTTAAAAGGGTTAAGAAGTCGTAAATTTTTAAAATTGAGAAGTTATTTTAGTTCACAACTATGTCAGACATAGAGATGGAGATGTCTCCAAAGAGTGAAACAGGATCGGATCAATCAGAGGTTGAAAATCCTCCTACACCTGGTAGCTATGGAGAGCAAGATGGCGAGCTGATATCTCATGATAATAGTGAACATGAGCAGAGTGATCAGGAACAAACCAATGAAGTAAAAGCATCCAATGAAGGTAGAATTTATAGTCAGTTCACATACTAAATTATAGTAATGGTAGATCATATAGTCAATATGGATTGACCCAATAATGTGCAATCAAATCAAACATTTGAAATAACCAACTGTCATGCACTTTCAGTACTTATAAACTTGGTTTCTCCTGGCTTATATGCCAAAGATTTATGCCAGCCATTGTTTTTTATGTTTGTATGTAGGTCAGGTAATAGGCTGGGGCAGTGTTTTGAAAAAGCCCACACTGAAAACTGATAAAAACGGTTTCATTGGTATTAGCACAGAATAAAGACACACAGAAGGTCGACTCACAAAACGTAACCGCTGCCAAAAACGTAACCGCTGCCACGGTTCGTCATCAAAATGATGACGCCATGGTCCTAGCTAGTAAGAGGCTTCACCCCTGGATGTCCGCCATTTTGAATATTATCAGGGGGTTAATGCCTCTCATAAGTTAAGCGCACTGGCTAGGACCATGGCGTAGACTTGGGCGGTTTTTATTAAAATAAAAATCGGTAAACCGTCCGACTTAAAACCAGTTAAACTGTAAAACTGGTTTTTGAGACTTTTTCATTTTCCAACGTAGGATTTTTTGAAATTCTAACTTAACCACTGTCTTGGTATGATTTCATAAGACCTAAAGTCACTCTCAAATCCTGAGGAAATGCACGATAATGCTATAAACGTGTGAACCATTACGTGATACGCAGGGTGGGATAATTCGCGTACCAACGTACCAGAGGTACGCCAAAATTACGGTCTGGTACTTCTTTGTTTTTAGCCGAGTACCACATAGGTACACGAGAATTTGCTATTCGCGTACTTACATTTTCCTTCTAGCAATAACTAGCAAACCTTCCAAGGTATTCAAAACCGTCAATAACTTTAGCTGTACATGTCAATTCCACACATCCGACATATTTTGGGATCGAACAAGGTTGTTAACTTTGTTATCTGTGTTTTTGGCATCTATGTAGTAGGGAAGAGATTATTTCGCTGGCCTCAAAGTGACAAAACATAACAAAGCAACGGTTTTACTAACACTAACTCTACTCCAAACACCAACTCTGACCCTAACCCTAATCCTTACCCTAACCTAACCCAACTACAAATTCGTTTATAAACCAACCTTGAAGAAAAAAGTTTTGACGAAATGTCATTCTGAGGTCAGCGATATAGTTGATACCACGTAGTAGACACTATATCTTATATTGACTAAAGTGGAGGATTCACTAATTCTCGAGGATTTACTAATTCTCAAATTACGCTTGTTTACTGTTAGGCTGTTGGCACCCTCGGTAAATCTAATTGATAAATGAGCGATGGCATTCGAGTCGCAACAACGCTTTGAAAATTGTTATGTTATGTCGTACAAATACATGTACCATTAATTAAAGATTTATTTCTACAAAATTGTCCATAGTTTTTGCTTTTAGGCCAGTAAACCATTCAATGTGATTGAAACATTTTTGACTTTTATTTCCTGTTATTAGCAATCCAATTAAAATGTTTATCATGAACTAGCCAAATGAATAAATGTGGAGCATTTAGTTTTATGTGTAATATATTACGTACTAGTAAACATATTTATTAAATATATAAAATTCATTAATTTTTACTCGTAAGTAGCATCAGGTACACCTTGTCTCTTAAGTTTGTACCAGCTCAAGTACGCTGCAAAAATTGTTGGAGTACCAGTCAGGTACGGCTAAAAATATTGAATTATCGCACCCTGGATACGTATTAGGTGACCAGCTGATATGCCTGCTTATGTTTTTGAGAAGATAATACTTTGTCCACATAGGCGAGGGTTCTATACAACATTTCTTACTATTTACGCTTTTCATGAACAAGAAAAGATAACAAAAACCAATTTTTCAGTTATTGGAAATGAAAACAGGTTTTAAAAAGAAAACCGAACAAAACCGAAAAACTGGTTAACCGCCCAAGCCTACCACAGTGTCAGCCTTTTGATGACGATTTATGGTTACACCAAAATCATAGGAAAAACCAAGAAGTCGGGCTTCTCTATAGTCTCTATTCTGTGGTATTAGAGAGCTTAAGTGAACTTGTGACGCGTTTGACAACACACACGCCAACCGGAAGCCAATCAAGCCATTATAGATGGCTTGATTGGCTTCCGGTTGGCGTGTATAATGGCTTGATTGGCTTCCGGTTGGCGTGTGTGTTGTCAAACGTGTCACAAATTCACTTAAGCTTGCTAATACCACAGATTAGAGACTATACAGAAGCCCGACTTCTTGGTTTTTCCTATGATTTTAGCCACAATACTCGGTTAGCTTCTAGGTCAACACACTCTCTCCCTCTAGTCCGTACAAATTATGGAATTTTCAATATTAGATTGATTGTAATCATAGGCGTACGACATACCTGTAGATTTTATTTTTGTGGAGGTAGCCAATCTTTAAATGGAGCTAGACTATGCCACATTCTCGTACCCAGAGCCCGCCTTATACACACGATCAACAGGGCATGACAAGGACGCGGTGTACGAGAATGGGTTTGCCTCAACAGTCAACTGCAGATCAAAATTTAGCCTCTGAACGAGAACAAAATGCCAAGTGTGTCAATGCCATGTTTATGCGCATATTCTGGGTATTTCAGTCTTATTTAATACAGCGGAATATAGAAGTGCATTCTGAGAGTTCTTGCAGTTATTCCAGTTATTCCAGTTAGTCAGTAACTCCTGGTTTAGATAACAAGCTCCAAATGATTTTTGGAGTTAGCAACACAGCAAGTAACTTCAACCTTACATGTATGCACCTAGCGGCTATAGGCTGACTCGCCTCGCTATACACATACTTTTTGGAGTTAGGCAGTAACTCAAGGCTTAGATACCTTGTTTTTTCATGATTTTTGGAGTTAAACGTAGCTCCAAATGATTATTTTAGTTAGCCAGTAACTCCAGGCTTAGATGCCTAGCTCCTAAATTATTTTTGCAGTTGTATACTTAGCTCCAAATGATTTTTGGAGTTAGCCCTTTAGAGCTTGGAGGTAGCGTTGCTCCATAACTTCCTACTTTCTACAGGCATGCAGTACTTCTATGATTGGAATCAAGATTTGGAATAGCATTGATGAGTCTTTAAAACATCTTTCTCTTCCTAATTTCAAAAAGAAATTAAAATTTCAAATAATTAATGGCTACTAAAATTGTTTGATTCAAAGTTTGATATTTCTTTTGTTATTTCTTTTCGCTTTTTGCATGAGCCTTTTATTCATTCATATTCATTTATATTGGTTTAGAAAAATCGTATGTATGTGTGTTCTGTGCTTGTTATTTATATTTATTGATAATTTATGTCCGTATTCTAACTTCTCCAACTCTATAAAATTATTAGTTTTCATTATAGAGGTCACCTGTCTCGATTAGCCCATATGGTTATTACAGGTGGCCTTCACTCACAGCTGATAATAATAAGAATAACTTTCTGTATTTTTTTTATGAGTGAAAATAAATTGGTTGTTGTTGTTGTTGTTGTTGTTGTTGTTGTTGTTGTTGTTGTTGTTGTTGTTGTTGTTGTTGTTGTTGTTGTTGTTGTTGTTGTTGTTGTTGTTGTTGTTGTTGTTGTTGTTGTTGTTGTTGTTGTTGTTGTTGTTGTTGTTGTTGTTGTTGTTGTTGTTGTTGTTGTTGTTGTTGTTGTTGTTGTTGTTGTTGTTGTTGTTGTTGTTGTTGTTGTTGTTGTTGTTGTTGTTGTTGTTGTTGTTGTTGTTGTTGTTGTTGTTGTTGTTGTTGTTGATGATGACAGCGACATTTGTGATTTCAAACATGTCAGAACTGCTGACGCCATCACTCACTTCTAAAATGGCTGTTCAATTTACTTCCTGTTGGTGTCTGTTGTCAAAAACGTAACTCTTAAGCTATTTTTGCCAGACTGCTAAGTTTACTATGTGCACAGAAGATATTCTGTGCACATTTTTCTAGCAGATGTGCACATTTTTTGGCCATCTCTGAGAGCTTGTGTGTGACATATATTCTGTGTTCAGCTGATTAACAAAGTTAACTGTCTGGTATTTTTGCTTGTCCCATGATAATGTCAATTTGAAGCTGCATTTCATTCCATTATAATTTTTTTATGAAAAGTGATAACTCTTGATTTGCATTTCAATTGCCCATATTAGTATTGCATAATCTGCGATTGAATGACAATTAATTATTCAAGCTTTGGGTTTTATTTTGTTTTCCAGTTTTTAATCGTACCAAGTGCATGAAACTCCAAAGTATTTTTTCAATGCTGAAAATTGCTTTTCCTGTCCTACCATTCTTTAAATTAAGGGATGGATGCTTTCATAAAGTATGTAAAATTAATGCTGATGCAGGGCCTTAGCTAGGATTTTAGATCTTGGGCGTGTTTGTAAATGACCAGCGTGTGCACATGTCAATTACCTTGAATAGCCAAATTCACGGTTCTACAACAACGAACAAAATGGACAATGCCTGTGGTTGTTCTGTGCTTTGCAACCAAATACAAGTCGAGCATACATACTCATATTGCGCACTGATATTGAAATATTAATTTATTTCAGAAACTCTTGGGGGTATTTAAAACCATTTTAACACCATACGGTTCTCATTATCCATCAAAACATTAAAACATCACGAATCACTTTTGCCAATTTCAACAACAATAGATTTTACAAACTTTCTTATGACGTAAATAGAAAGAAATTCTGTCTGTTGTAAGTAGCACCATCTTATTTTATGAACTTACACGGCCTTATATAAATAATGAAGCCGTGTTAATTTTATGTAGCCATGTTTTTCAATTTTTGGCCGCAATAACACGGCCAACACGGCCCTCTAGCTAAGATCCTGTGCTGATGATGTTCAAGGCCATCAGTGGTTCCTCATCCAGGATTCGTTTTCATAGCAAACTTGATTATTTAAATTTTTTTTTTTTTTTTCTCAGCCACATACAAACCACATAGGTACTGTATGCGCTGCTCTTGCTATCTGCATATTTTACTTAATTTAATAGAAAAGTCATATGAATATATGAATATATGAATGCTAGGAAAAGTTCAAACCAAGTGACTTTTGTACAAACTTGTTTAGAAAGTATATGCAATTCATTAAAAAAAAGTTTATGTTCAGCAATAAAGTTTATGTTCAGCTTCGTCTAAAATATTTCTGAATTTACTGAGTTTACTTGTACATCATCACATGTATCATTTGATTGGAGGAAACGTTTTTTCTCACGTGTGAGAAAGTTTGTTTCGCTTTCCTGACTGGCTTATACAGTATGTGTTGTGAAGCGAGTTTTTGTATAAGTAAATCCATTCGTAAAACTCGTTATCTATGCAATAATTTTTTTTCTACATTTGTGTTACTTAATTAAAGTTAAAAATCATCTTTGGACATTATTGGTGTACCGGTACTGTACAATGTATATCACAAAAAATATGACAAAATGATCCACGAAAAGGACTATTAATATTGCTATAGTGTTACTAAGATATGTCAGTACTTCATTGCGTACACCCTGTATTTCAAAAAATGGATTCATTCAATTGCCCTGGCTATATTCATGCATCTTTGCAAACAAAAGTCAATAAATATGAATATGACTAGAACATGTTATGCAGATGCACATATTTTTTCATTGTTAGAGGTTCCTCTGGAACACGATGTCTCAGATGAAGAAGAAGCTGAAGAAAAGGACGCAGTAGTTTCGCCGATCTCACCAATCTCACCTGTTGCACCTATCTCACCAATTTCACCAAACAATCAAGCTTCAGATGATGAGGATGGGAGTGACATGGAAATAGATGAAGATGTAGGGAATACTGAACAAGCAGATGACGGTGAACAAGCAGATGATGGTGAACAAGCAGATGATGGTGAACAAGCAGATGATGGTGAACAAGCAGATGATGGTGAACAAGCAGATGAAGGTGAACAAGCAGATGGTGGTGAACAAGGAGAGGAGAAAAAAATTCTAGACAAGAAACATTCTACAGCAAGTTCACCAAGAGAAGACCATACACAGTCTGATGATGAAAAGTTGAATGACTTGAACAAAGAAAAGACAGATGAAGTTGATGATGTCACAGATGAAGTTAAATCACAAGACAAGCAGGAAACAAATGAAGTGGACAGAACTGAGAGTCCTTCACTTGAAAAAGAAAGTAAAACATCTTCCGCAAAAGTCCAAGCAGACAGTGAAGCCGCTGAAACACTTAACGATCAAGGCAAGGACGATGAAAATGAGGGTGGTTCATCTAGTAAGAACAATTCCTTGGAGGAGAATGATTTGATGAACATCACAGAGATAAGTGATCTTTCTGTAGACTTGACTGGTGATGAAGCGGCCATTGTTGAAGATATCTTACAAAATGTTGGTGATGGTGAATTGCTTTCTGGTGAGCAGAGTGAAGAAAAACCTGCTGCTGAAGACCAGGAAGAAATTTCAGGTAAATATTACATCAAATTTACCGGAGATGGATGATCTTTCTTGGGCATGGCAAACGCACAGAGCATGTGTGTATGTACAGTTCAGCATTGGATGAGCTGACACAAAAAGATGATGTTTTGTTGCAGATGTTTTAACACACAACGAACATGTGATGATTTGTTTGTTAGTATGCTATTCTAGCTATATTAGCCAGTATTCGGATCAGTGTGGTCAGCAATCGGCAAATTGCACAGCAAAAGCACTGTGTTATTCTGCACGGACATTTTGACCAATCAAATAAAATACACAGTTTTCATTTAAGGTAAAGCCGTAAAGGTATATTAATTTATTTGATTAATACTGTTTCAAAAAACATAAAAGTAACCGAATTACAAGCAACAAAATCAAGTCACAAGTTTATGGTATCAGACGTCACATGCAGAAAATTAGAAAACAATAACCGTGGGACCAAGAATTTTTCGGTTCCATGAATCGTTTGAACTGCTTATCATCAGCTAAATAATGTGATGATTGATCATGCGGGAAGTGATTGACATGAGCTATATCAGTGTAAATATTGAAAAGCTGGTAAACCATTATTAGCCAATGTCCTAGCAACTTCACAGTTGATTGTTTATTTGCCAGACCCAAGCAAGATTGTTACAAATAAATCCACACTGATTTGGATAGCTTCGCCTGTATATAAACTTAGACAGATGTCGAGAGCCATTTTCTAGAAAGAAAGGCAATTTAAAAGAAAAGTTTCCTGCTACGTGCGTCAAGCCACAAAATATACTTGGTTTTCTTTGCTGGACATGAAAACTACTGCTCAAATTGCATTCATTTGTGGTCGGGATTTTGACCTACAAAATTTTATGATATTCTATTTGTCATTGTTGATACTACAGTATCTACTAATGTATACACTGTCAGGTCTTATAGTTCATTTTTGTTCCATCGTTTCATGTAGAAGAGAAATCTCACAAAGCTTCCAAGGATAATGATGATGATAATGAAGAGTAAGTTTGAAAAAAGCCATGTTACACGTCCACGAGTCTATTTCCCTGGATTCCTGGAAACATTGCAGACTGCACTGAGATGTCAGACGAATTATGCTTGTCACATGATGCCATACTTTGTGTATCTTTGTGAAAACTAGAAGCTGCTTTGCACAATTTCCTATTATAAACAGGTTGCAAACTAGGAGGGTTAAATGAGGAAACATTGCTTGCAAAGTAATGATTGGTGATAATGATGATGTCATGTATTTACTGTATAGTGTACATTTTGGATATTTTAGGCCAGCTGGAGGCACTGGGGAACTTATTAATGATATTTTTGGATCAAGCGATGAAGATGATGAAGACTTTGAAGTAAGTACTGAAATTCTTAGGAAAAATATTCACACGCTTGTTTCACAGAGACGTATATTGAACGATATTCATGAGCTTCGTGAAAAAGTATAAAAAAGATCTTCGATGTTTCAAGTGAACGTCAAGTGAACGTCCTTTGTCTGGAAAGCTCTTCTTCTCTGGAGAGCTTTTCTTCTGTGGAAAGCTCTTCTTCTTAAGCTTGTGAAATAATGATTGAGCATACTGTAGGAATAAGTTCTTTGTATGATTGCATGGCGATAAAAATATTATTAGCACTGATGAAGATCCGGGCTTACGGATCGAAAGCTTTGCAGTAATAAATTTACGTGGTGTTTCCACAAACAGAACTATTATATTACATCCTGTAGGAGTTACTTAAAATTGAAATTTAAACCTAAAACATTACTATACAGGGCTTGAAATAACGTTCCCAAAGTTCCCGATCATGGTGATCGGCTGTCATGACTTTCCCTGCTTTTCAGGTTGGAAACCCTGCTTTTCCGCAGATCAGAAGCAATTTCTTGCCGATCATTGATCGGTGGTCGGCTGTTATTTCAAGCCCTGGTAATGTCCGTGTTCAATTTGTAGGGATTTGAAGATGATGAATTACATGGGAAGACGAAAATTAAGAAAAAGACTAGAGTAAAACAGGAGAAGAAAGGAGGTTGGTTTTAATAAATTTCAAATTCTTCTCTTCCAGTTTATCAGAGGTTTTGGTGTTCCCACCGCAACTGGGGTTGGATTCCTACAATATGTATGCCGTTGTCTGATTACGATTTCATCCCAGTCGCATGTAAGAATAGTGCTCCCATTTTCACTTCCAAACCCCGCAAGTACTCTAGTTTCCAGGGCAGGAAAAAATAATTTTCTTCCTGGGAGTACAACCTGAAGACAAGAATTTCCTGCAGACCAACGGAGTATTTTTGTGTTAAATGTGCATGTGCATAAACATATAGTGTTCTAGCTAACCATGGTTTTCAATTCAAGGAATAATGTCTGTCAACCATACTGTATGTTGTTGCGCCCATAGTGGGGCATGGGTGTTAAGGTTCAAATTTTCAATAACAAGTCTTCATTCAAAGGAATTTTCTGCAGCTGTTTAACATTTCCGCCTATTTTCCCCACTCCTGCTAGTCTCCTTCTGTAGTAACAATGGAACAACAAGTTGGGCATTGCTGGACCTTCAAGGAGAACTGTTTAGAACTGATAGAGTTATGATTTCTTCACACTTTAGCCATTGTGTCTGACGATGAAGACGAGGCTGAGAAAGCTGAACCTGAAACAGAGACAAAGGCTCCTGAAGAAGAATCTCTCACCGTACCTCCTCCTCAAGACAGTGATAGCGAAGATGAAGAAGGAAAATCTGGAGTGTAAGAATTTTCATATTTTATTGACATGTTTTCACTCGCTACTCTGGTTTAACTAAATTACTACAATCCCATGGGATGATTGTGAGGACAAGGTGAGTAGTATAGGAACTGGCGTGTCTAGACCATTGGCAATTTTTCTAGACCACTAGTTTTTTATCTTTAGTAGAAATCATTTATTTTTATTATATTAGAATTAATGGTTGGTCCATTTAATTGAAATATGAAACTGCTATTCTTGTTTTTCATTTAACTTATCTCAAAGCTTTGGGATCACCTTACCAGTCCAGCTGAGACTCTAATACGTTTATCCTACACTTTTCCAATATCGTCCAACCTTCCTATTTCAAATCCTCCTCGACAACTTTTATTTCCTCCTTGAGGGTACACAAGGCAGGGGGCACTTGTGGTTCAGATACACTGTTGGCATCATCCTTTTTACCCTGTGTGGTCACCTCAACCTTAATATCATTGGATACAGAGAAATTTATATCACCAACCTTCCCATTTTTGTTAGACCTCCTACGACAGCCACAGATATTACCCAAACAGGAGAAGCATGAGCGCCACTTTGACATGATACTTTATGATACAACACATGTTATCCACCTGACCCTGAATACCGCAATGACCAGCAAAAAGACAAGTCCATACTCGAACCAGTTGGCATTGAGTGTTCCGGTTTAACTATAATACACCAAGCTAGCGTGTTATCTACCAACTCAGTCTGGTTTCCTAAATAGAACATACTATTACCCTTGAAGACATAGCAAGCTGTACTTCCACCATTACTTGTGTAAGTTCCATTAAACCAAGTGTGTGATAGTCTTCTTAAGTCTATTGTTCTGAGAACGATTTCCTTTTTAACCTGGGTAAATTTTCCATTAGACTGCTTTTCCCATACAGTAGCCCATAGAATGAGTCCTAATGGTATATTTAGAACAGTTGAAAAAGTTGGGAAATCTGATTTAATAGTAATTGACTCAAGGTTGAGGTCTGTCATATTATTAATAGTATCTGTTCTCCATGAAGGTGGAATTTGATCTTGACAGTAAGCATGGTACCTTGTTGCTGCAACTGATACACCACGATATCCCCAAATCCACTCTGCGTAAATGTGACGGTTTATTCTTACGTATCTCTTATCAGCCACTGCTTGTACAAGACCTGGATCCCTTAGATCAAGAATACCACTTGAATCTCCCATATCCAAATCACCCTTTACCAGTCCACCTCTACTACTCATGAACTCATCAGTTGCCCATTTCTTATTTACAGCAGAACCGTCAGTTGTTGGACTACCTACCCTAGTTAACTCATAATCGTTAACATCAAGATCACTATCTAGAGTACCACCATTACGCTTCAGGAACTGTTTACACCAGGAGTATATAGTATTAGCGGAAAGTGCATTGGTATCCCCAACCGATCCACCTTTGAGACCTGTAATACTATAACCCCCCATGTCAATATTACCTGTCATAGTGAAGCCGCTACTACTAATTCAACTCCCACTAACGTAATCGGTGACCCATTTTTTGGAAACAGCAGAATTATCAGTTGTAGGAGAACCTAATTTTATTATTTCATTGTTTCCCATATCAAGGTCGTCAGATAGAGTAAGACCGCTGTAAGTCTCACGCTTACTTCTACCTCCACTAATCTTATATTCTACCCACTTTTTGTTAACAGCAGATGTATCAGCACTAGGAGCCCCAATATTTTTAATTTCATTTCCACCCATCTTGAGAACACCAGTCATTTCATTTGAACCGTCCAATTTCTAGGCAAAGCGTGAAATTTGGTTAATCACAGTTTGAATATTGGGAACAGCTATTTTTGCACCAAGGTTGTTGATCGTATAGATTGAATTACCATTTGCAACTGTTAGATCACCATTTAAAGTGAATCCTGATGTAACCCACCTTTTACTAACAGCAGATGTACTCGAACTAGGGTCACCGATATTTTTAATTTCATTTTCACTCATCTTAAGAGCACCTGTCATTGTAAAACCTGAAGATTTAGCATATGTAGAATCAAACGTAGATATTTTATCTTCAATCCACTTTTTTGATACAACCTCACTATTGAGTTTAGGGTCAATAATATTAAAACAATCTCCAACCTCCCATGGACACATCTCCTTGCATTATTCCACCTTTTTTAACAAAGTTATTATCAACCGCCCACTTTTTTGTGACGGCGGACTGATTCTCAGTGGGGTCCTTAAGATTTTTAATCTCATGGTTCTTCATGCCACCAGCAATATCAAGTCCAGTTACAGGTTTATTTAACATTCCAACTACCCAATCCTTATTTACAGCAGATTTACCTGTAGAAGGATCACCTAAAGCCTTTATTTCATTGGTTGACACATTAAGATTATTTGTAAGAGTAAGACCGGGTAAACTTACACGACTACCTTCAACCCAACTTTTACTAGCATCGTCACCTGGGTTAGTAGGATTATCAAGATTAGTTATCTTATTACCTCCAATGTCAATATCCCCAGTCATTGTAAACCCTGCTGGTTGGATTGTAACAGCAGCCTGTTTAATGATCTCATCATCCACCCACTTTTTTGTGACTGCAGACGTATCATCTGTAGGTGCACCTAAACCCTTCACCTCATTACCATCCATCTCAATGTCACATTTCATGGTAAATCCATTCTTATCAAACACACTGCCACTTGATGGATCAACTTTATTTACTCCTTTGTTGTATCCTCTATAGAGAGCCCTTTTTATAACATACACAATGTTTACAAAAACATTTTCATTATAATAAATACAACTGTAGCACCAATTCCAGCCCCAGCAATAACGCTAACTTCAGAAGACTTATTACTGTTAACCATAATTTTACGAAAGGAGTTGTTTGCTTTTGGTGTAGTCTGTTGTTTTACGTATCCACTAAGAGTATCAAGGTGATTAACAGGTGTTGTATCCTGATGTTGCTTCTTTGGAGGATCAGCTTTTTTAACACCAACATAATTAAGCTTTGTGTTAACACCACGTTTCATATCAAAGGTAGCATTTACAAGTACATTGTTATATCCAGTAATATGTTCCTTTAGAATAATCAGACTGGATGGAACCAAAACTATTCCAGGTGTAATGGCAGTATTAAGTATAACATTGGTGTCTTCAATAGCCTTTCTCATATTAGACAGAGTTACAACGGGATCTGCTTGTACAACACAATCGTGAACAATATTACCAAACTTTACCTGGGTAGAAAATGATTTTCCCAACTCACCGACAATTGGAGTTCTTGTCGATGCTTGTGCCCCTAGTATGGAATATGAGAACGCCTGCACTGACTCGTTTAACAGAAGAAGCCCTGTTTCTGTAATCTTTTTAGGAACAACAAAATCATTAACAGCAATAAACCTTCTATAGTCAGACTTACTTACCAAACTTACCGAAACCCTTTCTCCGTAACTAATTTTTATCTTCACCAGGAACCCATTGACTGAATTTATAGGGGATGCAACCACATTTCTAACTGGATTACTATCACTACCTCTCTTCCTAAGCCAACTTGCTTTTTCATACTCAAGTCCATTATCATAAGTAACCCTATAAGTATCAGTTTTACTCTCCCACTTACCAACAATAGGAATGTGACTCTTTACAGGACCCAACTGACCGTGCTCATCTTCAACTCGAATGGCTTTTATTGGAAGGATAACACCATTTGTTAAGCATTGCTTCCAACAATCGATAAGGTACTGTTCCTCAACACAAAAATTGCTGGACCGAAAGTGGTGAAGTAAAGGACCTTGCGCACTTATATTTGATTTCTTTTCCCCATCAAGAAATTCAGTATCACCATCCTCATGCTCAATCCACCAGATTCCTTTACCTGGCAGGAGAAAATCACTAACTCTTTCAAGGTGAGCTTGCCATGATCTGATGTGCTTCTCTTTTAGGTCTTGTGGAATTACGGTGTTACCATAAGACGGTAGTGATGGTGCAAGCTTAGAAACAGATGCTTCTTGCTTAGAGAAACAAGAGCCTTGGAAAGCTTGCATCTGTTTCTCGGCTTGCAGTCTGATGAAGATGTTTCCAATTATGTGACTCGGGTGGTAGGAGGAGGTAGACGCAGTGATGTTGGTAATGGTGTTAAAGATTCGTTCTTGCTCTTCGACATTGCATGCTTTTCCACTGATCAGGCGATGTTGTATTGCAGCGTGGCTGGTGATGTCATGATAATAATTGCCATACAGCTTACGGGTGGTAATTTCCTTAAGCTTGAATCCAAGTACTTCTCTATACAAGATGCGATGATACCATGTCATGTTGTGCATGCGAAGAACAGACTTAGGAGTTCTCTCCGCCTCTGAACTGTAAGCAATTCTTTGAATTTCCACCAGTGTGGTCAAAAGGTGCTGAAGCAGCTTCGAACTGATAATCTTGGACGATTGTTTTGCAAGGATGATAAGGGCACAACGATAATCAAATGTTCGTTTAGTTTCCTTCCCACCAATTGTACAAGTAATAATGTCCTTGACAGCAATAGCCTCTCTTTCAGGAAGGTGATGTGGAAGTTCAGTAAAAATGTTTTCAATATGTTTTCCGATGTCATGAAGTGGTGCAAAGCTAAGGATCTCGTACTTGTCACAGTTGATGGATTGGAGAGTTGATGTTGGGTTTGTGTAAAGTAATGCTGGTACTCGTTGAACCCCATGTAAATCCTCTGCGAAGATCTTCTCAAGTTCATTCTTTTTATCACCCTCATAATTTCCTCTGGCATTTAGTTCTCGAATAAGTTCATCCTTCTTTAGGTTTTTGAATGGCTT